CCTGCAGCAACATTAAAACAGAGACGCTGACATAAAACAGGTTCATCTGAATGTTTCACACAGACCGACAGCAGCAGAGTCCAGACCAGATCCACCCTGTTTGACTTCCTGTAGATAAAGAGCGACGGCTAGTTATAACAACCAGGTGGTTAAAGGTAGAGTCAGTATCCTGTCTCCTTCAAAATAAAATACAGACTTCTCCTAAAGTGAAGCTGCTCCATCGTCCCTTCTGGGCCTCCATACATGTGTGGTGGTGACTGTGTCTGCAGAGACTCTGTCCTCTGACTGGATTTTACTGTTCTGCTTTGTTCTGGTTGACTTGGGACGTTTCTTGGCGGGGAGCTGGCATGCAAGAGAAGTGGTTCAGATAGAAGTGATTGTACTCGACCTAAAAAGCCTCTGCATGTTTCTAATAAGCTCCACGAGCAGAAACGTGCTCAAACTAGGATCAATATTGGAGATGCTTTTGAAAAATGGAGAGAGGTTAGAACGCAGAAAGGTTTACAGACCCATGCAGAGCTGGCTAAACACTGAAGCTTCAGAGTCCACCACATGGTGACCTGTGTGAGCATCGACTCTAGAGAGGAGGAGGGGGGAGACAGCTCTCTATGATGTTTAGAATTTAGACTGCAGTACCCGTTTAAACACTAGGGGGCAGAGTTACATACTGCTCTTTTAAATGTTGAGTTTTGTGCAGCTTTTGGCCGAGAACCAGCTGTTTTAAAAACATTATAGAGGGACGACGTTAGCCTAGTGGTTAGTGTGCACACCCCATGTACAGAGGTTAGAGTCCTCTAGGTAGACGACCCTGGTTCTAATCAGACTTGTGGCTCCTTTCCCGCACGTTATTTGTCAATAAACCTTAAACACATTTGACCATAGTTTATGTTACAAAACCTGCGCTACAATCTGTCTCCATGTGTCATCCGAGTGAGCGCACTCGCAGGAGGTTGTCTTTCAGCTATGACACTCTGAGGACTTGAGGTTCTGTATCAGTTATCAACGAGATGTTCTCAAAAGAATTACTAACAGACACAAGATATCGAGAGCAAGTCTTTAAACTGTGTATCGAGCCCTACTACAGATTGAAACCATAAATGAATCAATTTATCAGCAAAGACTTCTTTACAATTTGACATCCTGTGGAGGCGCCCCCTGGTGGCCATGAGACAGAATGCAGATTTAACGCACTTCTACGTCAGCTTCACTTTGGAACCAAGAGGCTACATCCACGAGTTCAGCTTCCAAGCAGCTGCACAGTAAGTTAGTATGATTTACAGTATAGTCCTTTCGCAGGGGGGCCTCATGAGTTATGAATTATGACAACCAAATTTGAGATATTTTGATTATTTGGTTTTGTCCAGTTTGATCGTGATCGGCCTCCAAACAGTCGTGTTGTGTTCAGAGTGAATCTGGCTGCTCCAGTGATGAGTAGGAAGTCTTGACTCATCGCACTGTGGGAATCACTGAGTGTCACATCTGACCACACACACACACACACACACACACACACACACACACACACACACACACACACACACACACACACACACACAGTGACATATTGACAGTGATATACATTAACTATTAATACACAGTGTGTGTCAGTCATCCTGTGTGGGGGAGATTACTGTATGCACTGTAGGATACTACTACTGTTATCTGCATGTGTGTGTGCGTGTGTGTGTGCATGAATTAAGTCATCTCAGTGGCTTTGACTGATGTTCTGTGCAAACAGCCTGTTGACACATGAATACTGTAAGACTCTCTGCAGACTGAAACATGATGGTGACCTAACTCAACGTAAGAAATGTTTGTGTTTTATATCTTTATATCGCTGCAGCTCCTTCAACCTTCAGCATCGTTTCCTGTCTTTCTCTGCAGTGAATTAAGTCATCTCAGTGGCTTTGACTGATTTCTGTGCAAACAGCCTGTTGACACATGAATACTGTAAGACTCTCTGCAGACTGAAACATGATGGTGACCTAACTCAACGTAAGAAATGTTTGTGTTTTATATCTTTATATCGCTGCAGCTCCTTCAACCTTCAGCATCGTTTCCTGTCTTTCTCTGCAGTAAATGTTTCTATAGTTCTCCTGTGCGTGTCTGTTCTTCTTACCTGATGCCGTGCAGATGATGAATGTTTGCAGAATCGCAGATAAATCCCAAACCACATTCATCCTTCGTTCAATTCACGCTCATTTTCTGCAGCTGTTGCGGGACTTCGCTTCGCGGGCTCGCACTTGTACACGACACGGTTTAACTTTAAACATGTTCCTTCTCTTCTCTCTTCTTTGCTTCTCCTCCTCTCCGTCTCTCTGGATCCTCTCTCTGGAGCTCCGTCCTCACTGCACCGTCCTTATTCGCTTCCAGGTTTGATGTCCAGGCAGCGTTTTTACTCGTCATTCCTCTCTCTGTGTGTCTGTGTATCCATCCTGAGGACATCCCAGCCGTGAAATCCGTTCATGAAGCATTTTCTCATCCGTCTCCTGCTTCTTCTTCTTCTTCTTCTCCTCTGTGGAGCTGCTGACTGTCTGTGGCGCTCAGCTCGTCTGCAGCAGCGGATCAGGAAACTTCAGTGACGACGCAGAGCGCACCGAGGGCGCACAGTCCGACAGAGCAACAACGTTTTCATCATCATTTATGTATTTAGACAGAGTGAATCAAACCAGCGGGGTCGGCTTATCTATGCAGGAAATACATCTGTGTATGTGGAAAAATAATGCAAACTGTTAAAAACGCAGCACAATCTCAATGGATGAGGAAAAACTCGAACCCAAATCAAGCAGGAAGTTTAAACCGGTCAAACAAACCCGGACAGATTTATTCATTTAATCAGAAGAAATAAAAAGTCATCAGTGTTCATGTTCAGATGATATAGAAGAGAAACCAACATTTGACACAATGAGAGTCTCGATGAACCAACTGTGGATGCTGAGCTGTTTGCAGAAGGCTTTGATGGATGCTCTGACCTACATAGCAACACACTGCAGATCCTCCTGTTGACGTGGTGCGCCCTCTAGCGGCACTTAAATACAACACCAAAAGCCTGGATCAGAGCTGAGTGTTACGGCTGTATGTTTCCCTTTGCTGTTTGTCTGCAGCTCTGCCCAGGTGAAGCTACTGATCGCATAACGAGGAACACCTGGCCCCAGTTCTTGAAGGCATAGGCATAAAAACATAACAAAGAAAGGTCGACACTGAATGAAATACATGAAATTGGTGTTGCTAAAAAATAGCATCCATAAATAGTAAAAACAGTTAATAAAATGGAAATCTGAGGGATTACTGTAATCCAATTTATTCTTTAATGTGCATCGAAGGGAGACGGCAGGGAAGAATTTTAACCCTTTAAATGAGAATTCTCTTTGATTTGTTCTGTAAATCTGGAGTCTGTGTTTGACATGTAGACTTCTTCCACTTGTAATTTCTGCAGACTCCTGAAGTGTTGGTGCTGAGTGTCATGTGATCACACAAACATCTGAATGTTTCTCTCTTCACTTGGAGTTTCTCCTCCAGCCTCCTCATATTTATTCTGCAGAAAGTCAGAGTGAGCTGATGTGAGAATGCAGCAGGATATAATCAGGAGAATTCACCTGGAGCCAGTGGGAGGGGGTGGTGACCTTTATTCCCTGTGATCGCTGCATGACCATAGTCTGTTTCCACGCCACCTCTACCATCTCCGTGCTCTAATCAACCTGCTGCTGCATGTTTCCTGTTTTCCAGTATGTTCTTCTTCACTCTTTAGTTCACTCTTAATATTCTCATTATAGCGTCGTATAGCGTACTCTGTTGCTTCGTTCTCTCAAATCATGTTTGAATGTTTTGTGGTCTGTGTTTAATGAGTAGTTCACTAACTGTGGCCTAGTAGCTACAAGCTAAGCTAAGCTAAGTATTAGCTGGTGTATATAGCCGTGTTCTAGCTCGTCATTATTTTCTATTTTTCCACGAGATAAATACAGGTACATACTGTAAAAATGTGAGAATCAGTGAAAGATTTATATATTTATCATTTTCAAAATACTTGGGACACAAATTGATTAAAAAAAATAAACAGCACTTAGTTCATTTATGTTTATTGTTGTTTTAAAATCTAATTAAACTGTGAAGTAACTGCTCTGCATTCTCCTGTGCCGACTGTCTTTGCTGCTTGAGGGGGCCGTCGTCTCGTCTGGATGCTGATCTGCAGATAATGTTTTGTTCCAAAGGGCGGGAGGAAGAAAGATTATTATTTGCACTTTCATTTTTTTCTATAATCTCAGGAAAAGTATACAACAAAAGCCTCACGTCTTGGCCAAAAAGTTGCACGAGAACACATCGCAAAGACTACAGCCGACGGCCAACCACCACGTTTATTCTGCACATGCATGAGAGGAAATAGCTCTCCATGCCAGCAGGAGGCGGTAGTCCGTTGTTATAATGCAAGAGGACCATTTTAAACACCGCTGTCAGTCACCACTCGTATTATAGGTAGCCTACTAATGGAGAATAATGTCTGATAAAAAGCAGAAAATTGCGCTTGTTATTTAAAGAGTATACACATTTCGTATATGTGAACGGAGAAAGAACTGTAACCAAACCTGTTAAATACATTTCTCTTTTGCATCCACACGTTGGTGTTTGTGTGGACTGGAGGTCTTACCGCTCTTTATAAACAACCCAGTGAATCACAAGATTTGAGTAACCTGAACAACTGAAACTCTCTAACTTTCTGAAATCTGTGCATTTTAGAGATCATTTCATATCGTTACTTAGATTTGAGCCCATCCCCTGGTTAGAGGAGTTATGTTTCACCTCATCTCTCTGGGAGTTTAAACTCATGTAAAGTCAAGACTTACAAGCAGGAGGAACCGGAGGAGTCTGCATTAAACCAAACCAAAAAGACAAGACTCAGAGAATCTTTGCCGGGCAGACTTCCTGGAAGAGAGGAGGGAAGAGGAAGATGATATACACTGGATTCCTGAATTGATCTATCTCCTCACAAACACCTGCTCACATCTCTACCTGCAGCGTCTGCGTCCAGCCGCCTTCTTGATCTCTCTCAGCAGAGTTTGTTTGTTTCTCTTCATGTTCTCTTTCCCCGTCTCCAACAATAACTCCACTTTCTCCTGACTGTACGAATGCTGGAAGGTGGAGAACTCCGCCATCTTTGCTTTCACCTCCTCTGCATCTGAAGCACAATAAAAACCAGAAATGATCAGACAGACGTTTGAGAGTTTTACTTTCTCCTGATTAAAGTGTTTTTTTGTGTGAGACCTTTGCAGTTGTTTCTGTTGAAGAGCGGCATGAACACGATGGTGGGCTCCTTCTCTTTCCCCTCAAACACGTAGCAGTCCTTCGGCCAGTCTCTCTCTTCCAGGATTTTCTCATCTATCTCAGGGAACGGCTTCTTCAGCTTGGCTGCATAATCTCTGGCCAAAGTCAGATTCTGTGAGTCGAGACATGAGCCAATCAGACCTATTTGGTTTTTTGAACCAGGCTGTAAACATGTTAATCTCTGTTGTAAAAACAGGCTTTTTAGAATGGGTGTGTATGTGACTTCCTGTGCTTCTGCAGCCAGCCTCTAGTGGACACTTGAGGAATTGCATGATTTTACACTTCTGCATCAGCTTCATTTTTCAACACCTGAGGATGCTGCTTGATAAATACATATTCTCTCACACCACACACACGCACACGCACATGCACACACACCAGTACCTCGAACATGTTCCCTGCGCTGAACTCCGGAGCGATGATGAGGTCGATGTCTCTCTTGTCTCCCAGAAATGACGGGAAGGCGACGTTCACTAGCAAGCCAGCGTCCACCAGGTTGAAATTCTCTTCAGTTTGGAGGTAAGGTGGGACACTGGAGTCTGCCCGGCAACAGGAACATCAACATCATTAATTCAACCAAGTTCCAGGCAAACTTGTTTTGATTGTCATGTATGTTCTTGTATTGTCCCACATTATATAAACATCACACAAAAAGTAAGGAAATTTGTGTTTAGTAGGTTATTTCTTTGTTGCTTCTTGGCAATAAATCGTATCCTGTTGGAAAGCCGGTTTATTTTCCTTTTAAATGGTGTCACATTTGTAAGGAACATGCATTTGTGGGATAAGCAGCAGAGCTGACTATGTGGGTTGCGCCCATGAAAAACTTGCCAAATCCTATCTGCCAAACAGCTTATTCTGCTGTTGACACTTGTTTATAATCCGATATAACGTGTAGTCTTACTTTGGTATTGGTAGAGGAAGTTGTTGGTTGTTCCCCACTCCCACTTCACGATCAGAGGAAGGACACGCGAAATTATGAACATCACTGTGAGAGAAACAGAAATACACAGACGTATTTATACCTCATTTAAATCAAAGGAACGTGTTAGTCTGCCTGTTGCTCTTCCTCTCTCTGACCGTGATTTTTAAAAGCTCCATCCTCCAGAGTCTGGCTCCAGCTCTCCACCACAGCCAGCAGCTGCTCAGTCCTCTGCTGGGAAACACTTTCCTTGTCCTGCAAACTTTCGGACTCGTACTCAACACGATGTGTCTCATCTGGAAGAGATATCAGATGCTGTGGTATTTCAACTCACACATTTTCTTAGTGTTACCAACATGTTTAAACTGATTAAATAAAAAGAGGTCAGGTTCATAGCGCTGATCATCATCATTACCAGCGTCCTCTAGTAGTTTGTGCAGCTTGTCGAGGTCAGCCTGTGCAGCAGGATCCGGGATGAGGTTTCTGGTCAGAGCTACAACTCTATGGAGGGCGTAGTAAAGACGCACATACTCTTCAGCTGCATCGTCCTCTTGACCGGGCACTGAGTGACACAAAAACAACATCAGGTTATTAAGGACCAATCACTGCAGAGTATCACCTCTGTCATATACCTCCGGATCATGTTCTCCATTCCCCTGTAAGAACCTGCTTTCTTAGGAAGTTCATGGGAACTCCGGTTATGCCTACCCCTCTGTCTGGGGCTTAGGCCATCCCGAGAGTTCCATTCGGGTCTGGTGGTGATCAGTACTTCAGGTTGGGAACTACCCTGTAGCTGGCTCCTTCCTTCACCCCCCTGGTTCTGTTGTCTATTCTGCCAGTGATGCGATTTCTTAGATTTATTCATAGCATAAGGCAATTTGTTGCCTTCTAGTGCTAGGTCACTATTGTGTCTCCAAAACCCAGGACGTATGCGTGTCTCCCAAGTCACCTGTGCAAACTTCTTGATCTCTGGCATACCAAGTTGATGTGTTGGCAATGCATGGTGACGTCGTACCGCACACAGCCATGTAGATTGTGCAGGAAGATGGACTTGAAAGTTTGTTCCTCTTCCAAACCTGGAGCATTACGTCCCTGGAAATATGCAGATTTTAGGTGCTGGTAATAATCTTTGGGTGCCTCATGCTTCTGGTGCCTGACCCTTAATGCTCAAAGAGTAGCAGATACAGAGTCGGTGTAGGTGGAGAATTCCTCGCACAAAGCGTTGCAGAGTACTGAGTACTGGTCTCTGATCTCAGGCCAGAGGGTAGTGATGAAGTCATGGACACTCCTGGAAGTTGTCTTCCAAATCAGCTTGAGTTTTTTCTCATGTGGATGCATCAGGTAGATCACAGAGGCGCAGGTTGATCTCTTTGAGGTAATCATCAATGCTGAAATTTGGGTTACCTGTGTCAAACTGGTCTACATCCTTCGCCAGGGATTCAATGAGCTTTGTGCACATTCTTTGGACTCTGGGTGAACAGGAGCCATCCGAGTCATCTGATGTTTCAGAATTGTCAGCTTTGGACCATGCAGTGTGGACTTACAGGTAGCAGGAGGGGCGCTGGTGTTATCCCTGCCTCTGGGGGCTGGGATAACCCCCTTCCCATGTGGTGATTCAAACCTGTGAAGGTGTGAAAAGGTGTCACAGCTGTCCATGGACTAGGGTGTTTCCCCAAAGGAAGGGGCTCCATAGTCAAAGTCTTTGTTTTCAGGAATGGCAGGGGGAAAAAAAGACTAATTTTCTTAGTCCTTGGGTTATCCTGGCTGCTCGGTTCTTTACTGAGCTTTTTCAGCAGGATTGTTTGATCTCTTAAGGGGCTTGGTTCAAGATCAGAGCCATATCCTGATGATATGTTTTGCTCCATGCTTACCTGTGCTCCTTGAATAATGTCAAACACATCCAGCGCTTCCTCACACGGGGCACCATTTGTTGGGGTTTTATCTAGTCAACTTTGGTTATATTCTTTAATAATTATATTTAATTATTATTAATATAAATAACAATATCATTAAACTATGTTTAATCAACTCAGGGGCACCACCCTAAAATCAGGGAAAAATAACCAAAATATCACTAAAATCATTCTCAAATTAGTTTTAAAAAAAGCAGCGTCCCAAATCAGTTTGTTTGTGTTATAATAAATATGTGATGTTATTTGTGATCCCCTTATGCAGCACTACAGCAGTTCTGCTGCTGTTTTTACCTTAGTATTTGTGCACTGTGAGCTCCTCCTGCTGCTGATAACACTGAAGAAGTCCCCATTGTGTGATCAATAAAGCTTCATCTGATCTCTTATCTTCATGTATGAAATTATGTGATTTACCGTTCAGCCAGTGAGGGATGAACTCTTTGATCATGTCTTCATGAGCCAATGCACTGCCAAAAACACCTGCAAGGGTTGAAGAGGAGGATTCATTATTATTCATGACAAACCATCCTTCAGTATCAATACATTCCCCAATGTTCCCTCATCCAGATGTTCCCTCAGGACTCTGTTCCCTAATACCGATGTCCCCTACAATGTTCCCTCATCCGATGTTCCATCAGGCGTCTGTTCCCTCAGCCCAGTGTCCCCTCATCCCGATGTCCCCTGAGCCCTATGTTCCCTTTGGCCTTTTTTTCCCTCATCCAGATGTTTACTCATCTCAAGGACTATAACTGAAACAATATAAAGACTTGAACAACAGTCTGTTTCAACAGTGAACGGTCACAATTACCAGGTGCTTTAAAACTACAGTCTACCTCTCCATGTGAACACACACCTTGTAGTTTGACCATGTCCATCTCAGCTATCTCCTCCTGCAGCTCCCCGTTCTCGAACTTGCTGCCCAGAAGAGACGTTTCAATGAAGAGGCCGAGGTCTGTGAACCCAGCCTCATGAGGACTCATCTCAAACCACGTCGCTGAGAGACACAGAGGATGTTTAATACCATAACATTCAATAACTCTCCCTCTCTTCAGGATTTAACATGTCTGTACCTTCCAGAGGCCCCTCAGAGAAGAAGTACTTCTCTATGGCGCAGTAGATGGGGTAGGGGTTGGTGGCTTTTCGGCCGGCCTCGTCAGAAAGAAGTCGCAGGTCCATCTGATGAAACAGGAGATCAAATCTGAAAACTTTGTATGAAATCAAATTTAATGTACTCAAAATGTTTATTCTACTGGAACCTGTTTCATGATTCCAGCTGAGGTCAGCACCCCCCAGATATCAGTGAGAGAGAAGTCCTCCTCCTTCGCTCTCTCGCCCAGCCATGACAGAGCCTCGTCCAGCTCCACCCCTGGACTCGTCAGGCTGGACACGGCCCTGTCCATCCCCATGCTCCACTGTGGGTCACTGTACAGAGAGGCCATGGACCTGATGGAGGAGAGGACAAGGTGAGGAGAGTCTGACATGAAGAGCCTGAAGTTATACGTCTCTTCATGAACAGAAACGCAGATGTTTCTCACAGATGAGAGACAGCCAAGAAAACATGTTTCTGCTACTTTAAGCCTCTGACTAAGGCATGCATCTTCTCAACACCTAACATCTTTGTTTACTGGATACCATGGAGTGTTGAGGTTCATAACTGATTGGAAGGCCCTATAACCAATCACTGTTCTCTGTATGATCGAGCCAGCTGGCCTGCATCGACCACTCCTCGACTAAATCAGTGACATGTCCTGATTTGATAGACTATACTGAACCTACTCCCCTCACACCGAGTGATTTTATACACGTGAAAAATGTTAGAAGCCTCAGTCTCCGCTCTGTGAACTAGTCACTTCACGTACTCTTATCAGCTCCCAGAGTCTGAGGGGGCTGTTCTCTTTACATTAAGTAGATCGAAGGTGTATTGTATTTTAACCTCTTCTCGTCTCTTGTCACATTCTGGTTCTTTCCATAAAATCAGAGATGCTGTGAATTAGACTCATTGACAGTGGAATCCAACATTTTCATACGACTGAACCGAAGCTGCAGACCTGTTCATCTTGTTCACACAGACTGATGCTGAAGTGTGAGTGTGAATATCATTACCATGTCGACCCAGAGACTCCTCCCAGGTAGAGCACAGAGTCCAGCAGACCGTCTTTCTCCATCTGATGGAGAGATCCCACCAGAGCCACGGCGGCTCTCTGACCTCCACCTGAAGCCAGCAGAGCGATGTGAGGGACCGAGTCCTGCAGGGAGAAAACATTGAGAGGGGGAGTGTTTTAAAATTCAGTTATAAGGAAATGGCTTCAATATGTACCAGCCTAGGATCTGAAAGCTTAACACATTCCTTTGCAGCTATTACTGAAATAAACACACCCTGAAATTACCACACATCTGACACTGTTTCCAGTTTACCATCATCTTTGATTCCAGACTTGATCAAATGTCTATAAAATAGAATCAAATGTAATATCTGTGTTTAAGATAACTTATTTCAACGTGTGTGATCCTAAAATAAAACATCTTCATCAGCACAGTGAAAGATTACAGTCTAAAACAACTTGAACATTATCTATCCCACTTTTCCTGTTTAGGGTTGCAGGTGCTTATCCAAGTTGTCATTGGGCCCAAGGCAGGGTAACACCCTGGATTAGAGACAGACATTCACACCTACGCGCAATTAACCTAATGCACAGGGAGAACAGGTGAAGGCTCCTGGCTCCTGTCTGACAGGGATTTGAACCAGGAACATCTTCGCTGTTAGGCAACAGCACTAACCACTAGCCACCATGCAAGCCTGATCACAAGATGTTAATCATTAAAAATTATATTTCATGAAAGAAAATAAGTTGAATAAAGAAGCAGAGGACAGAGACAAATCTTTTGTTTCTGAAGTTTCTTCTTCTCTCACTTCAGAACAGCTGATTCCCAGACAGTTGAGAGACTGCAGGACGACTCGTTTCCTCTTGAGAACGTACTCATGTTCACCCGCACACAAACACTGAGAGTGAAGCACGGATTTCTGAAACAGACAAACAACACTTTAACCAACACCATCTTGGTGGCAGAGTTTCAGGATGTGTGCAGGAGTTTGCCTGGTAATTGAAAAACATTGTTCCAATATTGGGTCGCCTAAGGACTACTATTTTTGTTGCCATGGTTTCTAACCAGAAATCGATATTGTTTGATTTTTACCAAAATCATAATAAAGTTAAAATAATCTGAAACTGTGACACTTACAGGTTAAAAACACAAGACTCCCTAAACACATCATGGTTTGTGGTGCAGCTCTCACCTCATACGCAGTTCTTTTCTCCTCCATGTTGCTCTCTGTTGATGCCACAGCTCAATAAGTCACAAGGCATACCCTCATCAGAAGGAAGTAACAACCTGTGTATCCAGTCTGCATTATACAATGTGGGTTCATCTTTAATTCAGAGGTGTGTTACTGTTAAATACATAGCTTCTGCCCTATGACTCTTCTGATCTGCTCATCAGGAATGCTCAGTGGGCAGACTCTGACAAGATCAGACCAAGACAAATAAACCAACTAGGCTATATAAAATAACTGCTATCTCACTTGCTCGCTCGCACGCACGCACGCACCCACAAACACACACAAAAACACACAAAAACACACAAAAACACACAAAAACACACAAAAACACAATGATGACATCATCACAAGTGGACTAATGACCTTCATGTTCTGCAGTAAAATACAATAAAGAAAGACACGTATTCTCACAATGAACGAACCTTTATTTATAATCCAAATGCATCACATGATTCCAGAGGACGACATGAGTTTTTTAAAATCATATACTTTGTCTCTCTGAGAGTTTAAACTCTTATAAAGTCAAGATAGATAGATAGATAGATACTTTATTGATCCCGAGGGAAATTCAAAGTATCCAGTAGCAGGTTACAAGACGTACATGACATGAAACATTTGTTACAAATTAAACCACAAAAACCGACGCCCCCCTCCCATACATATATATTAACCCGAAAAAAACAAATACGACAGGGACGGAGCTACTGGATATGCAGCCACTCGCATCGGCGCCGGAAGTAAGGACTTCGGACAAGCAGGAGGAACCGGAGGAGTCTGCACTACTCCAAACCAAAAAGACAAGACTCAGAGATTCCCTCCCGGACAGACTTCCTGGAAGAGAGGAGGGAAGAAAAAGATGATATACACTGAATTGATCTATCTCCTCACAAACACCTGCTCACATCTCTACCTGCAGCGTTTGAGTTCAGTCGCCTTCTTGATCTCTCTCAGCAGAGTTTGTTTGTTTCTCTTCATGTTCTCTTTCCCCGTCTCCAACAAAAACTCGATCTTGTCTTGACTGAACGGAAGCTGGAAGGTGGAGAACTCCGCCATCTTTGCTTTCACCTCCTCTGCATCTGAAGCACAATAAAAAAACAGAGATGATCAGACAGACGTTTGAGAGTTTTACTTTCTCCTGATTAAAGTGTTTTTTTGTGTGAGACCTTTGCAGTTGTTTCTGTTGAAGAGCGGCATGAACACGATGGTGGGCTCCTTCTCTTTCCCCTCAAACACGTAGAAGTCCTTCGGCCAGTCTCTCTCCTCCAGGATTTTCTCGTCTATCTCAGGGAACGGCTTCTTCAGCTTGGCTGCGTAATCTCTGGCCAAAGTCAGAGTCTGTGAGTCGAGACATGAGCCAATCAGACCTATTTGGGTTTTTGAACCAGGCTGTAAACATGTTAATCTCTGCTGTAAAAACAGGCTTTTTAGAATGGGTGTGTATGTGACTTCCTGTTCTTCTGCAGCCAGCCTCTAGTGGACACTCGAGGAACTGCTGGATTTTACACTTCTGCATCGACATGCCGCTTGATAAATACATATTCACACCACACACGCACGCACACACACACAGCAATACCTCAAACATGTTCCCTGCGCTGTACTCTGGAGCGATGATGAGGTCGATGTCTCTCTTGTCTCCCAGAAATGACGGGTAGGCGACGTTCACCAGCAAGCCAGCGTCCACGAGGTAGAAACTCTCTTTAGTGTGGAGGCAGGATGGGATGCTGGAGTCTGCCCGGCAACAGGAACATCAAATATGTTTATTTAACCAAGTTTCATGCAAACTCGTTTTAAATCCCTGATTGTTGGATGCAGGTGTTGTATGGTTGCCTTGGTCCACATCCAGACTTGTACACCAGAGTATTTTTATCTATCTGTGAAGTTTCTTGTTCTAAATCCACTCTGATCCTGTATTTGATCATGTCTATAAACCCCTCTATTTCAGCCCTGCTCAGAACAGGCTGTTTCTGTGTCTGTACCTTTAAATATGTAAATGAGCTGTGTCTGACCACGCCCCCTCTCTGGAAGGGCTTGGGTGTCTCGGTGCTTTCTCGCTCCATGTCCTATTGTTTGCTGTGAGAAGGCAGACTCAGAGGGCAGAACAAACACCTAGCTGTGGGAGTGTCACCCACCTGGGGGAGGGGCTACTGCCCTTTGTGATGTCATGAAGGGAAAATCTCTAAAGGTTGAAAAAGTTCACATACACGTATCATTTGACCCCTTTAAACTGTGGACTTTAAAGCTCATTTTGGAAGCTTAGGTTCACACAACCTGTAGATAACATGAAGCCAGTTTAAATGTGTTTACAGTGAGTGTTGCTGATTTGTGGTCTTACTTTGGTATTGGTAGAGGAAGTTGTTGGTTGTTCCCCACTCCCACTTCACGATCAGAGGAAGGACATGCGAAATTATGAACTTGACTGTGAGAGAAACAGAAATACACAGACGTGTTTATACCTCATTTAAATCAAAGGAACGTGTTAGTCTGCCTGTTGTTCTTCCTCTCTCTGACCGTGATTTTTAAAAGCTCCATCCTCCAGAGTCTGGCTCCAGCTCTCCACCACAGCCAGCAGCTGCTCAATCCTCTGCTTGGAAAAACTTTCCTTGTCCTGCAAACTCTCTGACTCATTACGTAGCGCCTCATCTGGAAGAGATACCATCACACACGGTGACGTTTCAAATCACACATTTGCTGAGTCAGAAGCTGCGATCATGAGCATACATGAACATGTTTAAGCTGAATAAATAAAACTAAAGAGAGGTCAGGTTCATATCTCTGATCATCATCATTACGAGCGTCCTCCAGTAGTTTGTGCAGCTTGTCGAGGTCAGCCTGTGCAGCGGGATCCTGGACGGTGTTTCTGGTCAGAGTTACGAGTTTATGTAAGGCGTGGTAAAGACGGACGTACTCTGCAGCTGCAGCATCCACTACACCAGGCACTGAGTGACACACAAATCATCAGGTTATTAAGGACCAATCACTGCAGAGTATCAAATCAATACTAGCACAAAAAGTAAGGACATTTGTGTTTGGCAATAATTCTTATACCGTTGGAAAGCCCGTTTATTTTCCTTTTAAATGGTGCCACATTTGTGAGGAACATGCATTTGTGGGATAAGCAGCAGAGCTGAGTATGTGGGTTGCACCCCTGAAAAACTTCCCAAATCTTCTCTGCCAAACAGCTTAGTCTGCCGTTGCTATCGACTATTATATTTGTCCTGTGAGCATGGGCCCTGCTACAGTGGTCAGTTGGTGTCTGCTCCAAGGATGCCACGTTTGACTGATCTGGATAGGGCCCGTGCCATAGGGATACTTCAAGCTGGTGTTCCGCACAACCAAGTTGCAGCATTATTTGGAGTGAGCCCTAGTGCCATCTCCAAACTGAAGGCCAAGTTCCATATAACGGGGTATGTCTGAGACAGGCCGCGAAGTAGGCGTCCCAAGAAGACGACACCCCAAGAAGACCGTTTCCTAACTCTGTCAGCACTTAGGAACCGTAGGCAGTATTCTACCGATTTGCTGTCCAGGTTTGCAGGACCATATGGCCGATGGCTCTCTACCCAGACAATGCGGATCAGACTGCTCGTGTGTCATAGGGCTGCCAGGAGGCCTGCCATGACTGCCCTTCACTGTCAGGCCCATTTGCGCTGGTGTCGGCAACTTTTGCACTGGAACCTCAACTTGTGGAGGAACGTTATGTTCAGCGATGAGTCCAGATTCTGCCTTGTGGGATCAGCTTGGGCGTGCTGTTCATGCCAGAGTGACCAACACAACCACATTGGCTGACTTGCGACAAATACTGGTTGAAGAACGGGATGCCATCCCACAGCAATGTGTGACCAGCATGAGGAGGAGGTGCCAGGCTGCTACTGCTGTGTATGGTTCTTCTGCATGCTACTGAGGCTCCTGTTTGTTAAATGAATAAATTGTTAAATTGCCAACATGTCTTGTTTCTTCAGACTTCAAACATCCAATCCACTAAACGACACCAATCAAGAGTCAACGGCAGAATAAGCTGTTTGGCAGAGAAGATTTGGCAAGTTTTTCATGGGCGCAGACCACATACTCAGCTCTGCTGCTTATCCCACAAATGCATGTTCCTTACAAATGTGTCACCATTTAAAAGGAAAATAACCCAGCTTTCCAACGGTATAAGATTTATTGCCAAGAAGCAAGAAAGAAATAATCTACCAAACACAAATGTCCTTACTTTTTGTGTGATGCTTATGTTGTTATTTGTGATACTCGAGTATTTGCACCTCCTCCTGCTGCTGTTCACACTGAAGACGTCTCCATCGTGTGATCAATAAAGCTTCATCTGATCTCTTATCATCATGTATGAAATGATGTGATTTACCTTTCAGCCAGCGAGGGATGAACTCTTTGATCGTCTCTCCATGGGCCAACGCACAACCGAGAACACCTGCAGGAGTTAAAGATGAGGATTCATATTTATTTATGACAAAACGATCCTACAGCATCAACACATGCAGAAATGTCAAGAGGACATTTTGTACAATGCAAAGGCAGACACTGGCTCGCTGCACTGTGCTACATGAATACACTAGGGTTAGGGTGTTTTTGATGCTGTGACGACCCGCTAGGTGTGCTCTGTGAGGGTCGTCATGGATAGAGAACACCTGGGCCCAGGGTTCCTGATCCATTAAGAGCAGGCCTCACTTCCTCATTGGGGGAGACGGAGAGAAAGAGAGAGAGAGAGGTTGCGCCCCAATTGAGCAACACTCCTCTTGTGTGTGTGTTTCTAACCAACATGTGGTGGGCATTCAGTTTGTATCAGGTCCAGAGGCTGCACCCCAAACTGATCTGCACCAAACCCTGACATGCACGGAGCCTCCCTGGTTCTAAAAATGTCACTCTTTCCTACATTATCACTGGAGTAAATAAAACCATGGTCTACCTCTCCATGTGAACACACACCTTGTAGTTTGACCATGTCCATCTCAGCTATCTCCTCCTGCAGCTCCCCGTTCTCGAACTTGCTGCCCAGAAGAGACGTTTCGATGAAGAGGCCGAGGTCTGTGAACCCGGCCTCATGAGGACTCATCTCAAACCAGGTCGCTGAGAGACACAGAGGATGTTTAATACCATAACATTCAATAACTCTCTATCTCTTTAGGACCTAACATGACGTGTTAGAGGAGCCTGTCTTTACCTTCCAGAGGCCCCTCAGAGAAACAGTGCTTCTCTAAGGCGCAGTAGATGGGGTAGGGGTTGGTGGCGTTTCTGCTGGCCTCGTCAGAAAGGCGCCGCAGGTCCATCTGATGAAACAGGAGATCAAATCTAAAGACGTCATATGAAATCAAAGTATGCACTTAAAATGGATAATATATTAAGTCAACGTGTTTTTCTTCTACTGGAACCTGTTTCATGATTCCAGCTGAGGTCAGCACCCCCCAGATATCAGTGAGAGAGAAATGCTCCTCCTTCGCTCGCTCGCCCAGCCATGACAGAGCCTCGTCCAGCTCCACCCCTGGACTCATCAGGCTGGACACGGCCCTGTCCATCCCCACGCTCCACTGTGGGTCACTGTACAGAGAGGCCATGGACCTGACGGAGGAGAGGACAAGGTGAGGAGAGTCTGACACAGACTGATGCTGAAGTGTGAGTGTGAATATCGTTACCATGTCGCCCCAGAGACTCCTCCCAGGTAGAGCACAGAGTCCAGCAGACCGTCTTTCTCCATCTGATGGAGAGAACCCACCAGAGCCACGGCGGCTCTCTGACCTCCACCTGAAGCCAGCAGAGCGATGTGAGGGACCGAGTCCTGCAGGGAGGAATCATTGAGAGGGGGAGTGTTTCTAAATGTGCCCATGATATCGGCTGATTTCAGCATGTTACTGTCCTATCGGCTAATTTTAACGCAGATATGACTAGATTTATCCACCAGTCAAATAGCATTTCATTTGAGTTTCATTGTATTACACTAGCAGTTCTCTGTCACCAGCAGAGGGCGCTATATGGATTATAACGAGCATCATCACTCTGCATAGTGTCGAGCGGTGATGCACCTACATGCTCAGTTACATTCCAGTTGGGCGGCCATCTTGTCTTCATTATAAATCTTTTCCACAAATGTTTTGATAACTGAGGGATCAACACAATAGACGTAAATATCTTTATCTATCTCTACAGATCGAACATAGATCTAAGAGAGATATCGGCCGATATATTGGTATCTGAGTTTTCTGTATCGGCCCCAGAAAATCTGTGTCGGTCGGTCCTGAATAAAATAATCTTCCATGAAAGAAAAGAACAAAGAAGCAGAGGACAGAGACAAATGTTCTGTTTCTGAAGTTTCTTCTTCTCTTACTTCAGAACAGCTGATTCCCAGACTGTTGAGAGACTGCAGGACGACTTGTTTCCTCTCGTCAACATACTCCTGTTCACCTGAACACAAACGCTGAGACTGATGCACGGATTTCTGAAACAGACAAACAACAGTTTAACCAACACCATCTTGGTGGCAGAGTTTCAGGATGTTGTTTTTGTGCACTTTAGACAGAGTGCAGGAGTTTGCCTGGCAATTGAATACAAGAAATGTCCCAATATTGGGTCGCCTAAGGGCTACTATTTATGTTGCAATTTTTTCTAAACAGGAATTGATATGTTTAATTTTTACTAGAATCACTGTGAAGTTTAGAAATCTGAAATTGTGACAACCCAAGTGTGCAGCAGGTTATAAAAACATGATTCTACTTCCTGGTTGCAAAACACAAGACTCCCTAAACACAGCAGCTGGTGCAGCTCTCACCTCATACGCAGTTCTTTTCTCCTCCATGTTGCTCTCTGTTGATGCTCCAAAAATCACAAAGCATACCCACATCAGAACAAAGTAACAACCTGTACATCCAGTCTGCATGATGCTATGTGGCTTCATCCTTAATTCAAATGTGTGTCACTGTTAAATACACAGCTTCTGCCCTATGACTCCTCTGATCTGCTTTCTTCCTCTGAGGGGGATTCTGCTTATCAGGGACACTCAGTGAGCCGACTCTGACAAGATCAGGCAAAGACCAACGTTATGAAATAGCTGCTCTCTCTCTCACACACCCACACACACACTACCATGTTGATTGTTATCATGTGTTGGCTTTTGAAGGAAATATTTCTCAACATTTACCAGACAGAAAGGCAACACTGCTTTAATAGTTTATTATATTTGTTGGTACATCCTGACACTTTTTGACAATTTTCAGGTAAAAGAGTTCCTTCAAAATTTTATCTAGACTGATCTTATCTACTGTTGTCTCTACCTTTAAGGTTTGAGGAGCTTTAAAGGAGCAATATGTAACTCTGACACCTAGTGGTTAAAATGGGCACTGCAGATTCCAGATTCTCAACATTGTAGAGAGCTGTCTCCCCCCTCCTCCTCTCTAGAGTCCATGCTCACGCAGGTTGCCATGTGATGGACACTGAAGCTTCAGTGTTTAGCCAGCAGAGTAGATTTTAGAATTATAATGAAAAACTAAAGTGAGGTATTCACAAGGACTCTCTGTTTTTAACAACCTCAGACTCATTCAGCTCAAAGTCACCAGTTGCCATGGTTACTGGTTAAACTAAACACAAATCAAAAGGCTCTTAAGGTCAAACGAGAGGAGAAAATGAAATGGTTAGTTTGTGAATCAAGAAGAAGCAGTCCATGTTTGTGTGGTCAAAATGATTAAATTTATTCAAAATATGAGTTCAAATAAAGGTCACACAGTCCTCTCAGCTGTTCGCTTTCTGCAGCAGTGATGACACATTAACACGGCGCTGTAGTTTAAAGGTTCTTCCTCTTTCCTCTTATCAGATCAACTCTGCTGACATTCTAAATTCGTCTTTTTATTTCATCGATCCGAGAAATGGGAACCTGAAAATGTGTTTTAGAAACCTGTAACAAACACTGGATTCGGCTCGTATGAAAACACGTCTGCATTCCGAGTTCGGTGCAGATGTTTCCTGCAGCTGAGGACTCTGCAGAGTCGCTTTGTGTTGTTGTGGGAGAAGAGAGAATCCACCTGGGACAGAAGAAACACACCGTGGAGGTTCAGCTTCAGGAACACCAGTCAGGGGTCACAGTGGTGCGTTCAGGGCTCAGGTTTGTATGAGGAGGGGGGGTTTGTCCCTGGGGAGGCGGTCTCTGGGGATGTGGACTCTGGCTGTGGGGAGGGACTGGCTGCAGACGCCGGCTCCTTCTGAACCAGCTCGGGCTCATCCTGGCCGGCCTGAGGCGGGTGGACCAGGACCCGGTCGATGATGCCAAAGTCCTGTGCCTCCATGGGGCTCATGTAGCGATCCCTCTCCATCACGCCCTCTAAGGACGACAGGAGGAGAGAGAGGAATGTTTAGAGCTGACATATTACAAAAACTGCCGCAACAGCTGATCAGAGCCTCCTGCAGTGATTGGATAGACAATGCCCGACCTCTGCGCATAAATAAAAAACACATCACTCCCACTGACGTCATCTGAGCTTCACATTAAACTAAGTGTCTTATGAAGCTTAACTGGAAGTTTCTTAAACCTGCATTCTCTCTAATGGCCACCAGGGGGCAACTCCACTGATTGAGACAAGAGACAAGAATGTTTATATAAATATGGACAACATGTCTAAATCTGCTGCCACTTGAAAGAACTGAAGCCAAAACATCCCAGAGATGAGTGCAGATCTAGGCGGAGGACATAATGAGGGCTGCGTGCACTCTTTGGTTTTAACATTTTGCACGTGACTTGTGAATTGAGTGATGTTTTCTCTGTAAGGACGTCGTGAGTTGAGGAGTCCTTTGAACTCACCGATGGTTTCCAGCAGCTGCCCCGTGTGTTTGGCGTAGATGGTGTTGATCTGTCTCTTCAGCTTCAGGATCTCTTCAGCCTGGATGGCGATGTCTGTGGCCTGACCCTGAGCGTGCAGAAACACAGAACACAGGGATTACTTCACATCACTTCCTTTCTTAGTGTCAGACTTTGAAATGACCCCCCCCCCGCGCTCCTCAGTATTAAAAAGAGCAGACCGCCCTTACCCTGGCTCCTCCTGACGGCTGGTGGACCATGATGCGAGCGTTGGGCAGTGAATGCCTCATGCCTGACGTTCCCGCTGCCAGGAGCAGGCTGCCCATACTGGCTGCCTGACCGACACACCAGGTGGAGATGGGATTCAGGATGTACTGCATGGTGTCGTAAATGGCCAAGCCTGCTGTCACCACACCGCCTGGACGGGAGAGAACAGCCATGAGAGAGAGACGACGGATACTTTTCACCCAGAGTCAAAAAGAAAAAAAGGGCAAACTGATGTTTCAAAGAAGAACTTTTTCTGCTCAGTAGAATCCGTCAGCCGGCCTCTAGTGGACACTCGAGGAACTGCCACATGGTTTTAACTTGTATCAGATGTGTCCCCGCTGCTCTTACCAGGACTGTTGATGTACATGTGGATGGGTTTGTTGTTGCTCTCTGACTGTAAGAAGAGCAGCTGGGCGATGACCAGGCTGGCCACAGTGTCGTCGATCTGAGCAGAGGAGAGAGAGAGAGTCACTTCTAAAACATCTCATTTAAAGTGGTTTCACTTTGGAGCGATCACATCAACACTTACAGGACCCATCACACAGATGATCCTCTCCCTCAGCAAACGAGAGTAGATATCATACGCTCGCTCTCCTCTCCCCTGGAGACAAAACACAACATTGTTTTTAAGTTAAACAACACGAACAAACAACAAAACCTGAATCTGGTTCTGTGTCAGGTTCAGTGCAGACATCTTGCAGAGACTTTGCACCTAAACAATTCTTTGTATGATTTTTAAAGATCTCATCACGATGCACACGAGAGCAGCAGACAGTTTTAGATTCTTGAACTCTCCTCCTTTGATTTCCCGCTCATGAAGACAGTCATGGCACATTAGTAAAATAAATAAAGTTCCTCCAGGGTTTCCTTCTGACTCACCGTCTGCTCCACGACTATAGGTATGAGCGGACTCCTCCATACAGGACTGTGGTGGATGGACCTGCTGTGTTTCAGGGTTAGACCTCCGATGTGTAACGCCCTCTGAGAGACAAAGAAACAAATATGAACAATAATAAATATAAAGTTAAAATAGACAATAAAGCCCCACAAATGTAGGTTTCTTTAGGTACAGTATAAGGATATCGATTGTTAGGGCTGTGCATCCTCACAGGTGTCACGATAAAATGTGAAAATGGTCCTGAATGCTCTGGATTTGTTTGGACCAGAGAAGGTAGGCGCTTTTAAGGCGACCCCCAAACGGCCGTTTTGGACGCCCCTCGGTTTGCCAGATATGAGAGCAGTTATCAGGTCAACAGGTGTTACAGTGATGGAAGCGGGCAAGAGAAGTGGTTCAGATAGAAGTGATTGTACCCGACCTAAAAAGCCTCTGCATGTTTCTAATAAGCTCCACGAGCAGAAACGTGCTCAAACTAGGATCAATATTGGAGATGCTTTTGAAAAATGGAGAGAGGTTAGAACACAGAAAGGTTTACAGACTGATGCAGAGCTGGATAAACACTGAAGCTTCAGAGTCCACCACATGGTGACCTGAGTGAGCATCGACTCTAGAGAGGAGGGGGGAGAGACAGCTCTCTACAACGTTTAGAATTTAGACTGCAGTACTCATTTTAAACACTAGGGGTCAGAGTTACATACTGCTCCTATTATATTATATGAAAGTGCTTTAGAACATTAACATATATTTAAACAAAATGCATACAAATCTTTTGCAAACAGGTGCAGGAGTGTAGAAATGACCAAAACGAGTATTTAACAACATTAACCTTCCAAATCAAAGTCTTTTTAAATCTTTGAAGGATTAACTTGAGGGTTTAAAAGTATTTTCAAATACTTATTTAATCTTATTTGTGATCACATAGTTATAGAAGGTTGCTTCCCAGTCCAGGTGTAAAATAATACAGCAGGTTATTTAATGCCTCCTGCAGTGACACATATGTAACATCATCACAACACTTATGTCATCCTAAAACAACGAGCTGCTGTGTTTATATCTGCTGTATGTTGTTGTCTTCAAAGGGAGGATCCACCTTCTGTGTTTCTGTCTGATAAAGAGTCTCAGTAACAGCTCGGTGAGGAGCCGCCAGGTGTTCTTTTACAGGTGTTTTTTCTCACAGTCTCAGGTTTAGAGGTGATGCCATGAAGCGGCGTTACACAAGCTAACTACGAGCTAACGCGCTAACACGAGCTGTCGTCGTCATGACAACGCGTACAAAACTCTTTAATCGTGAACTTGTGTTAACGTTCAGACTCACGGCGACTCGACGTTTCAACGAAGAATTAGTTTGTACTCACTCTGAGCAGCATTTTAAAGTCGTTTAGCTTTCACTCCCCCTCTGTGTGACCCCGCTTAAACCGGAAACAATTCACTCTGGCTGGTGACACTTCTTCTTCGTCGATTAGTAATTGGCATCTGCCGTTTTTAGTTTGTTAGCGCCCTCTTGTGGACCGTTTTAGTTGTTGTTGTTTTTTTTACACATAAGACAAAACGCGCCTTTATGCCACGGCTTTTGGCTTTAATTTATTTTATCCTGAAACAGTAAATGTTAATGGGCGCGCATGAGTGACGTCAGCCATGTGTTACTGCAGGGGGCTGTGGAGCTAGGGGCGTGTCCAGACTTTTTTGGCCCAACTGGGGCACTGACTGCACAAATAAATATGAATTATTTCCCCTTTCTTATCTCACCAATTATATCTACTTTAAAACACAAGATAATGTCAACATTTCCCAGTCTAACTTCACATGCAATGTTGTGGTCCCGACACATTGCAGACCATTAATCCGTCTAATGAAAGCGAAGTTTTTATTTATAATTTAAAGTACAAACAAAAGAATCTATGCTACATTGATATGTTAAAAAAAAACTAGCAGTATTTGAAAAACACATGTCCCCCCTCTGACAGGGCAAATAGCCAATCACAGATTAGGATTTTTGGGGGGCACCTGGGGCGGCCAATCAGATTCTAGGGTGGGCCATGTCACCTCTGGCCACCCCTCTGGACAAACCTCACTCCTCTGTGTGCATCTCTCTATCTTTTGAAAAAGTAAGAGAAGAATCTGGGTTAAAATCCAGGTGCGTACCAAGCCTGGAAATTGATCTGGGAGTTTGTGGGGTGCCAGATTACATCCTAAACCCTGCCGAGGTGCCACCGAGCCAGGCTTGTGACCCATGGTGAAGGCTTCATACTGCAAGTGCTGCTGCTGTTCCAGCCTTTCTCTCTCACCACTTTGTTGGTGAAGTGTGCCAAAACCCTGACTCTGCTCATTTAGTATTTCTTGCAATGTTTTTATTTATTTTCCTCTGAATAGTTCCTACATCATGTTAAGCTTTTACCACAATTTCATTTAATCAAAAAAACACAAAGCCTGCCAAACTGTGTGTAGTGTGTGTGTGTGTGTGACTGTTTGTGTGTCTCTCTGTGTGTCTCTGTCTGTGTGTGTGTGTGTGTCTGTGTGTGTGTGTGTGTGTGTGTGTGTGTGTGTGTGTGTGTGTGTGTCTGTGGGTGGGTGGGGTGTATAAATGAGTGAATGGTCTTTTTGTGTGTTATTAGCGCCCTGCACTGAAACAGAGCAGACTTGTTGTGTGTGTGTCTCAGTCATGTCAAACAACAGCGCAGCCAGCAGCAGCAGCTTAGCTCTCGCTCAGAAGGCCGTGAGGCAGCTTCGACTGGAGGCCAGCGTCCGCAGGATAAAGGTAGGAACACTGACCACACACTCATCACTTACCATGCATGAATCATCTTTAACTCTTTAGATGTGAGAGGTCGTAGAGAAGCTCTGATGTTTGGAAAGTGTCTGATTAAAAACTTCCTTATACTGTAGAAGTACAGCCGTCAAGGAGAAGTTAAACAGGGACGATAGGACTGAGTTATAAATGATTGAACTGAGTGTGTGTGTGTGTGTGTGTGTGTGTGTGTGTGTGTGTGTGTGTGTGTGTGTGTGTGTGTGTGTGTGTGTGTGTGTGTGTGTGTGTGCAGCACACAGTGAGACCTTTGTTGACTGTGCTGCAGACTGCCGTGATTGATTTAGAACAGAAGTCAGAGCAGTTTCTAGTGTGTCCGTGTGAAACAGCAGCGACATGTTGGAGAGAGAGAGAGATTAGAATAAAACACAAATCAGAGAGATTTGTTTTACAGTTTTAAACATGAGTGTCTCTATTTAAACAACAAGCTTCAACTTGTAATTCATTGTCAGGATGCTCGAGATGATGCTGAAGGTTCAAAATACTACCATATTTTCTTCTCCCTTTCTTTAACTGATGTTTGATTTTTAACTTCTTGTTATTTTTGATAATTATATTCCTGTTTCTTGAGCTGTTGTGACAAAAAATATTCCCCCATGGGGATCAATAAAGTGTATCTTTATCTTTATCTTTTCAAATGGTTGCTGGGCCAGAGGTCGGGGGGATGTTTTCGTACTTCAGATATATATGAGGCAAAATGACTTTTATGTAAAAAAATGTATAATAAACACACCTTCAGAATGAGTCCACTCAGAGTTGTTGTCGTTTTTGTCCCTGACAGGCTCCGGTTGTTATTCTAAGTGTGTGACATCATGACAGAAAGGATCTCTGCAGACACAGACCATCAGACCTTCTCCCTGATCTCTCGTTCATGATCTTCCCGTGTGCAGTTTGAGTTTATAGCGCTCTCACATATTAGACTGTAAGGCTGATCTGTTAGTCGTGTTATAGAATCTGTTCATAGATTAGGAGAACATTCTGCCCAGTGTCCGCTGACATTTCTGCATGGAGTCGAGGAGAGCCGATGTGAGAACACAGCAGGAAATATTCAAGAAAATTCACAGTTTAGTGTGATGGTTGTCCTTCCTGCTCACCAGTATGTTCTTTGACACTCATCTGTTTATACTGGGAAATGTCCAGTTACACATACCATTGATAGAAAGGAATGAACTGTCCTCATAGACTGACAGAGATAGTCTCCTGCTGTGAGGTAGACGTGTGAACAAGCAACTTCTAAAAACTTCAGGATGCAGTCCGCCTGTCATCGTCCACAGATGTTCAGGAGTGCATGTGTGTAAACAGTTTCAGTTTGACCTCAGGTCCTCTTTGTCGTATCGACAGTAAAACGCTGCATGGTCTTTTCTAAATGTTGATACATATAAAACCACAAACATGATGATGTGACATGTCTGTCATTCCTCAGGTTTCTCAGGCTGCTGCAGAGCTGAAGACCTTCTGTCTGCAGAATGCTCACAAAGACCCCCTCCTCACCGGGGTGCCCTCCAGTGATAACCCGTTCAGACCCCCGAAGTCCTGTGTGCTCCTCTGAGGTGGGACTGCTCCTCTGCTGCTCTACATCTCTGTACCTCCTCCATCTTTTCTTTTTTTTATTCAAACAAAGACGCTGCTTTATTTAGGATCACAAGACCCGGCCTGCAGCTAAATCTGCTCTCTGTTGTTTTAGGTTTTATGAAAAGTCAAGAGCATGCCAGCAGACGCCTGATCAGTGGATTTCTGTCCCGTGATTCACTCAAGATACAGACGCAAAGACACTGAGGGTCAGGGGAGCAGCTGAAGAAACAAGCAGACAATAAAGTACTTAATGTCTTTATTTGACAGGATGTGTTGCTTTCTGCAGGATTCAGCAGCAGCTTCACACAGCTCTTTCTTACCCCCCTTTATCTTGTCTGTTCGACCACTTGTTAGCTGCTTCACTTTTTACTGCTTTTGTGAAATGATAAAGACTCTCTGTGAGTTGAAAACAACATGGTGTATGAGTCCTGTGAGAGTCACAGAGGGAGCAGATTCCTGATTGCCTCTGAACGACGCCCACAGCGCAGCTAAAAATATTCGATCCATGTGTTTTTTTTTCTTCTTTTGCACATGTTTTTAATAAACATCCAATGTGTGCCACATGTGATCATTTACCACACAGGAACCTTTCTTCTCTCCTCTACCTCCGCTGTTCCTTTCTCAACTGGGAGAAGAAATTCAGTTTGATTTTAATTACTAACAGCTGTTTGGATTCAGGTCATTTATTTTAGAGAATCTGGAGCGTTCAAACGTCTCTTCTTCTTATTATTATTTATCCTGTACTCCAAACATGCACCCGATTTTAAAACACAAATAAATTCTATGATGAGAAAGAGGACTAATGCCACCCATGACAAAAAATGTGAGGAGTCAGACGTCATCAAAGAAAATCATTAATTAATGACAGAATGAGGTTCAAGACTTATGTGGTGTGAGTGTTTGAAAGAGAGAGAGAGAGAGAGAGAGAGAGAGAAACAGAGAGAGAGACAGAGAGACAGAGAGAGACACACAGAGACAGAGAGAGAGAGAGAGAGTAGATGCACAGGAAGCTGCATTTGCCTGGTTGGACCTTTGGACCCATCGGTGCTCCAGATCTAGCAGGATATGATGGCACCTCAAAGAAAGGACACACACATACACACACACACACAAACATTAACTCCGACAAACTTCACTGATAGTAAATGTTCTCACTGCAGACTGACGAGAGAAGGATTCAAACAATTTGTCCTTCAATTTCAGATAAAATATCACAGAAATCCTGTTTTTTGTCGGAATAATACGATTTAAGAGTTTCATATTGACAGCACTAACTCTAACATGTGTCTCTAGTCCGTCTACAAACCCCCCAATGATGAGAAAAGTCCATCCTCTCCGTCTTTTGCCTGCTCCACTTTTCAGAAAATGTGTGCTCAAACAGGCCGTTTGGAGATTTTCCCTTCATGACATCACAAAGGGCAGTAGCCCCTCCCCCAGGTGGGTGACACTCCCACAGCTAGGTGTTTGTTCTGCCCTCTGAGTCTGCCTTCTCACAGTAAACAATAGGACATGGAGTGAGAAAGCCTGAGTACACCTAAGCCCTTCCAGAGAGGGGGCGTGGTCAGACACAGCTCATTTACATATTTAAAGGTACAGACACAGAAACAGCCTGTTCTGAGCAGGGTTGAAATAGAGGGGTTTATAGGCATGATCAAATACAGGATCAGAGTGGATTTAGAACAAGAAACTTCACACACATGTTTTGAGGAGCTCTGAGACTTATTTACACTGAAGAGGAGGAGGAGGATATGTCACCTTTATTATGGAATAACAGTTTGCTACAAAGTTAAATGATAAAAGCTGACAGGTGAACAGAATGCAAGTATTTTCTTTTTGCATCAAATCTATACCTTTAACTGTTATTCATCTGTTGACTCTTATTTGACATTTCTCTCGATGCATCTGTCGCTGATGTCATTTAAGAAGCGTCATGACCACATATTTACTCATTTCCAGTCATTGTCTTATCTCTTTCTTCTTTGATTATTCGACTGTGTAACGTGTATTTCTCTGTGTTTTGTGTTTGTGTACGTATGGAGTCAAAATTCTTCCTTTGCTGTTTTTATTTGTCTTGTAAAATGTAATGTATCGTGATAAATTATCTCCTGTGAACTAAAGCCGATGTGAAAAAGCTCCGTGTTTGTGTTCAATCATCACGACACGTCCAGAACGCAGCAGCTCTGCTCCTTACTGGTTTTAACAGATGACATCCCATCACCCCATCTTTATCTTCTTTACTTACAGCGTGTATGGGTCTGATTCCAAACTACATCAGTGAACTGCTGATACTGTATTTGCTTTTATCCCTTCTAATGGTTCTATCTCGTCCTTTTTCTTTGGTTTATTCTGGGGCTTTTATGACTTTATCCATGTTGAGAGTGAGAGGGGGTCGGATCTGAATCAGGGCCACCCGCTTCGAGGACTACAGCCTCTGTACATGGGGCGTGCAAACCAACCACTAGGCCACCGACTCACCTGTTTCTACCTCTTTCAGTTGCTTACATGGCTACTCCTCCTGGTTTCACTTCATGTTGTTTTTGCTGGGTTCTTATAATGTTCTTGTGACGTCTTGGTCATGATCCTGGTGTTGTTATTGTTATTTTGTGTTCGGGTTCTTGCCTGTTTCTAATGTCACTTTTGCTTGTAAAGCCAAAGCACGTTGTAAACCGGTGTTTTTAAAAGGTGCTTTATGGTCTAAATTAAAAAAAACACATTATTATAACTACTATGACGTAGCTACACCTCCTGTGTTTACGTCGTTCCCGCTCTCGGCCGCCGGGTGTCGCTGTTGCGGCGGCTCCTCATGTTGTTGCCCGGGCGCTGTTGCCTCCAGCAGAGAGCAGTGCGTGGTTGGATGTGAGCGCCACCGACCTGTCTCTACTTCCAGATCGAAGATGGCGGTCTCGGTGTTCCCCGGCGTGCGGCTCCTCTCCATCGGAGACGCGAACGGAGACATTCAGCGGCACTCGGAGCAGCAGCCCTTGCGATTAGAGGTGAAGAGCACACAGGATGCCGCCCTCATCAATCTCTCCAATGGTGAGTTGACCTTTCCCGCTGATGCTTCTCGGATGTTCGGCCTGTGCTGAATGCTATGCTATGCAGCGCTAACGCTAACACGGCTAATCTAGCAGGACGTAGCGCTAGCCTCCAAGAAGCTAACACGTCTTGAGAGACCACGTCGCCTCCCCCCCCGTTCATCACGAGGGAGCCCCACAAACTACACGTTTTTTCTCCTCCTCGTGTTGTCTTTACATTCGTTTCCCTCACACTCACCGCTTTCACTTAACTTTGAGGTGTTTAAACAATATCACGCTACATACTGGAGCTCACTTAGCCGCGTAAATAAGCGGGTCGGCTAAGTGAGGTTAGCGGGGAGTTTAATGCTAAACAATGAGTGCAGCCCGGCTCCAGCAGTGACGCGCTAAAGGCTCCTCGCGGTCCTTTAACGGGTGTTTAATCACGTAAATGTAACGTCAGGTTGTGTACGTCAGTCCCTTTGACCCACATTGACCCGGGTTATGTTATTGAGGTGTTTAGCTTGTCCGGATTGTTTGGGATAGTAATGGGCGATCCGGATCTCTCCTGTGATCAGAATATTTGATTTAGCGACAAGAGCCGGATCTTGTAGCTCCTTAACGACTCTTTGTTCAGTGTGAAGTATAATTTTATAAATCAATCAAATGCCCATGATTGTTAGGTGTGCATAATCTAGTAGTAGGTTTTGAATGAGACTAACTTATACTGTATTAATACAAATAGTCACTATTATCACATGTATGTTTTAGTTGATAACTGTCTTTTCAAAGATATCATCTACTATGCGTCGAAATATCCTGTTCTAGTGATGTTACAATGTTACAATTCACTTAGCAGACGTACATCACACTTACACCGCCACAGTAGCAGCGGGAGCAATGCAGGGTTAAGTGTCTTGCCCAAGGACATGTTGCTCAGCTGGGGATCGAACCCTCAACCTTTCGGTCGAGAGGCAACGACTCTAACTGAGCCACAGCCGCCACATGTTAAGTATAAAGGGGCTTTCAGATAGGATGCAAACCCATTCATTGTCTGCGTGTTGCGTGATATGAGAGCGTAACTGAGCGGGAAGGCCGGGCGCACTCCCTGCGTGTTAAAAAGGATCTCACCTTTGGCGCGGTGCTCTGACGACACCTTCCGCATCCAGAAGGAGGGAAGATCACATCACCTCAAACAAGGCCCAACGTCAAGACAAAGAGTGGTCGTACGCCTGTAGGTCATCCTACTTCTCGTGAGTCTTGGTGCAACTCTCTCCAACAACGCCGTCAAAATTGCTCCCCGCTCAGCCTGAAGGTCCTGGACAAATCTAAACTCCAACACACTCTTTCACACCCGAGGATTTAATGAACACGCACGCACCCTCTTCTTCTTCTTCACTGCTCGAAAAAAAGAAAGGCCTCTTCTGAGCGTGTATAGATTCATCGTGTGCCCAAAAGTAACTTCTCCCCAGACATCCTCTCTGAAAGCCCCTTCAGGGTTGTCACGGTCCCTGTTTTTTTTTAATTGAATTTCTTAGAAGAAGTGTTAAAAAGTGCAATAACCAGATAATTCAACATTTTGACAACCTTGTGAAGTATTATGACTGTCTTAGTAGTCGAACATAAAATCACACTTTTAAATAATCATGGTAAATACAAAAGCCCTTTAGAGACACACGTTTAATGTGGATTCATTTGTGGGACATGAAGGATGAAAGGAGTCGGCTCTTGGGTCCGACTCGTCCAGGAAAGACTTATCACTGGAGCCAGGAGCAGAGGGCATGGCTCCTGACCGGCTACTGTGCTCCCACCGTCTGTCGCTGTTATAGCCCCCTGTTTTTAACCCCTAGCCCGCTCTGCTAAAAGAGCAGCACACACACACACACACACACACACACACACACACACACACACACACACACAAACTTCTCAAGCTTTTATTTTTTGGGGGAGAATGCAGTCTTTGCGTTGGAGGTGGCGTAGAAAGAGCGAGCCCTCATTACTTATGCAGCTTTGTTCTCATTGGAACAATGGCCGGGACCCCGCTGCCTCCTGCCCTCCTGTGAGGAGGCAGCATCAGAGCCGCTCGGCTGCTTTTCTTATTCAATGGGACATCCCGCTGAAAAGAAACAGGCCTCCTCTGCCGGGATGCTCCAGTTAAAAGAAAAGAAGCCACACTCATTGTGGACCTTTTGAACAGCTCTGCATCGACACAACTCTCGAGGCGTACTTCAAAAAGATGCAGTTTGATTCATCATGGTGGGAATTAAAAAGCAAAATGATGCAAATGAGGTTTAAGTAGTGAAAGAGTGCATGTTGGATCTTTTAGACCAACCTTCACTGCCTACTTTTTAATCCTAATGATATGAAGATGGACTGTTCTCTTTTAGCCCGGTATACAGATTGTTTTTGTATTAGAGTTAAAGTTAATTCTTGCACTTTTTTAAAAACCTGAGACGTATTCCCGCATCATTTGGAGTCTAAATGTCGAATAAAATCTTCCTTACAATCAATAAACAGCCGTTAGCTACATGTTTCTCTTCAAAGACACCAGACACCATTAACAAAATCAATACTTTCACCTCCCTAAACAAGAGATCAGCTGCTCTTCCTCTCCCTCAACTGTTTGTTATTGCGTCTTGTGTTATGTTGCATCTGAGCGATCCCTTTTAAAATAGCAACGTCACAAAACTTTACAAATAATTTATTGAACTGAGGCAGAAGTAGACCGACCAACAACCCCAGGACGCTGTGAGGTAAACCCTCTGAATTTCTAAATGGAGCCTGGTGGCTTTGAAGAGAGCGATGTAACCGTTCAAAAGAAAAGCCGGTTAAGCTTTCAGGCAGCGTGTTTTTGAGTCTGTCGCCTCAGCATCCCGTTTTAGAACATTGTGGTGTTGTGGTCAGGACCAGACCAACAGAGACCAAGACATACCTGAGACCAGAGTGCCCGAGACCGAGACATGGCCAAGACATATAGGGACAAAGCCAAGACCAGTCACCAGACACACTGTATATGGGTTGAGACTGAGTCAAGGCATTTAGGGATCGGGACCGAGAGATGAAAAACCAGCACCTTGTGTGCAGGGGGCGTGTCACTCTGAGGAAGGGGGCAAACAGAGCTACAAAGTAGTAGATAAGAAGTTCTTATCACAGTGATGACATGAGAAAGAAGCAGATCAGCAGTGGTCCTGACCGGTCTTGATTTCAAATCTGGAAGTCCGCTCAGTCCAAGACCGGGACAAGACCGGTCTGGAGTTCTACAACACTAGAACATAGCACGTAACATATTATATGAATCAAAGGGGAACTAGTCCTGTAAATAGTCTTAGTCCTTTTACTCGAAAGGAGTCATTGAACGATGTAAATTCAGCCTGGTCAGTGTTGATCAAATACTGTAACATCAAGGGTTTCTCAAGCTGAGGCTCTCAGACCCCTGGATGGCCACATAGGTACTGAGTGTGATTTAAATCAGCTGACTTTGTTCAGTTAACAGTCTGTGTCAGAGTGCAGAAGAGTCCTCTGCTCGGAGAACAAAGTTACCGATATAGACACACTCTGATTATATAACATGAAATCTCTGCATGAGACTTAATTATTTATCATGTTGCCTTCCTCTTATAGTCAGACCGAGCCTGTGTCGGCCTGCAGAGCGTGAACTCCCTCTCATAGTGGATCTGAATATTCTTCTAAAAAGTGGCGTCCTTCAGCTCTGATGCAGGGTGCACAGAAACTTGTACCTTTCTATTTTTAATAAGTTTTTATGAACGCTGACCTCACTGAAGCAAAACAAGGTTATTTTAACTTCAAAGGAGTCATCTGTTACTTTGACACCGAGTGGTTAAAATGGGTGAAAGCTAAATTGGAGAGAGCTGTCCACCCTCTCTCCATTTTTCAAAAGCATCTCCAATATTGATCCTAGTTTGAGCACGTTTCTGCTCGTGGAGCTTATTAGAAACATGCAGAGGCTTTTTAGGTTGGGTACAATCACTTCTATCTGAACCACTTCTTTGCCCGCTTCCATCGCTGCAACACCTGTTGATTTGACCTGATAACTGCTCTCATATCTGGTAAACCGAGGGGCGTCTAAAACAGAAGCTGCATGGCTCACTTTGGTTGAGATTGAAATCAAATCTCTAAACGAAAGAAATCCAGAAATGAGAAGAGGAAGAGAGCTCCGTGTTGTTTCTGATCAGGAGCGATCTATTTACAGAGAAAAATATCCTGCTGACTCATCAAACAGGAAGTCCACTCGATTCTACAAATGTAGGTCAGTTTACTCGTCACAGCGAGTTAGACTCACCGTGTGAAAGCTCTTACATAAAATCCTCTGGAGGAGAGTCTTTGTCACGACGGAGAAAATAACTTTCGAGACAATCATCATGAAGGTTGTTGTCTCTGGTGTTGGGCTTTATTATCATTATTATAACTCCCTCATGTCTTGGCCGGGACACTCGTGTAGGAGGTTCTTCATCTCAGCGAGGTTAATTTAACTTGAAATAAAGGTAAATAGTAACTGGAGTTAAGTCCCTTTGAGTCAGATTTGGCGATTAAATCTTTGTATTTTTCTCACATCCAAACCAAACTAAAACTCCTTCACAGCCTACATGAGTCTTCATTAACTGATGTAGGATTTTATTCAACAGACATTCGGACCTGAAGTTCTCATCGTTGAGTCGTTGATGAAGTTAGCAGTTTCCCCCTTTAAGAAGCAGCAGCAGCCCCTCTGTCAGCCACACAGGACCGCTCTTATTTTGAAAAGCTTCTCTGACCAGAGTCTGTTTGAGTTACCTTGCTTTATGATTCTGTAGCTAACAGTGAGAGAACATACACCTCAGCTTCTTCAATCTGTGTTTGGGTTACATCAACGAGCCTGCGGTCCTGGATCACCTGTGTTTGTACTTCAATCAGTATTTCCCCACGTTGTCGATCAGTAAACAGGGTAGTGTAGTAGTGGTTAGAAGATCAGCTAAGCGTCTCTGTCGGTCTGAAGCGCTGCTCTCAATCCTTTAATTTCTGCTGGATTAGCTCAGGCTGGTTAATGACTGTTAACTGGACCTGCTGCTCCACCGGGACGAGTTTCTAGTCTGAAGGGTGAGAGCTGGACCAACACGTGTTTCTGTTGACAACAAGTAAATAAACACGAGTGCCAGCTGCATTCACAAACCCGGCTGTCATTCAGCCTTGTAACTGGAGATATCTGCTGTGTGCATGCCATCCTGTGTACTCATTAACAAGTTGTCTCTATGAAACTGTTATAACGTTATGAGGAACACGGGGGAAACATCATCCAGATGTTTTTAGGACATTTTGCCAAAAAGAGAAGATCCGATTTTAGTATTTTCACAGCCATTTAATCAAAAACATCAAAAGCTCCTCCTTTGTGTCGGTGAGCAACAGATGAAGAATTGGTGCGTCTCCTCTTCAAGCACTCAAACGTTGTGATCTCCAGAAGCAGCGCGACGCACGACTTGTCCCTTCCAGAACTCTTCTTAATGAAGTATTTTTGCAAACGCACGCAGTCCCACGTGTTCCATGTTTGTCCTGACCCTCTCCATCGTCTTCCCTTTTCTCTCCAGGAGAGGAGGCGAGTGTGTTCAAGTGTTCGGTTTCCAGGGAGACGGAGTGCAGCCGCGTGGGGAAGCAGTCATTCATCATCACACTGGGCTGTAACAGCGTCCTGCTGCAGTTCTCCTCACCTGCAGGTACACACACACACACACACACACACACACACACATACACGAACGAGACACAGCTGTAGGTTCTGACAAACACCAGAATAAGACACGTCCTTTGTTAGAAACATTGTGAAACTTGTGATACTTTTTTTTTGATATTTTACATTTTTAAATTCTATTTTATATATTGTAATAGCTTCTTATACTGTATTATTTAAGTTGTTGCTAGTTCTGCTTTATTTCCTTGTTAATTGTTTAGCACCAAGACAAATTCCGTCTATGTGTAAATGTACTTGGCAATAAACCCCGATTCTGATTCTCATAATCTGGACACTTTCAAACTTCGCTCTGGCTTTATTTAGCCTGATTGTAACCTCGGAGAGAGTGACTGTTTTTAAAGTTACTTATATAATCAGTGAGTCTGTTCTTCCCACACACTTGATCCACTTTTCCTGGAGTGTGAAGCAGGCGTCATCGGCTTTGCCCCGCAGTTAGTCCTCTTAGAAACACACATCACAGTACTGGATCTATACAGAACTCTCTGCAGCGGCACCTTCTGTTCGTTAAGCATCGCTTCAACGTCGCCTTTTAAGTGCTCATCTCATTCACAACCTCAGATGAGCTGAGACCAAAACATGTACCAGATCCTTCTGTTCCATACGAGTCAGGCAAAAACTCTGACTCACCTGGAAATAAACCCACTAAGGAATTTATGAAACTGTATTTTTCTGTAGCAAGGCAACAATTCTCGAAAGCTAAGAAACAAACTACACGAGTGTGTTCACTTACATTCACCTTTTCACAACTTGCACTGGCGGTGTGTTGTATGTATCCCTGCTGGTCCTGGCCTTTGTTAATGTGTGTGTGTGTTTGTGTGTGTTGCTTCAGACTTTCAGTCCTTTTATAACGTCCTGAAGAACAGTCGTGGTCACTCCAGTGAGCGCTCAGTGTTCAGTGACCGAACAGAGGAGTCCTCTGCTGTACAGTACTTCCAGGTGAGACACACTAACCTTAACCCTGCAAAAGTATTACTTTAATACTATTAGACTTCAGAGGAGATTCATTGATTTTCAGACCAGTTTGCTTTTCCACTCACAGAACCGTTCTCTCTCTCTCTCTTCGTCTCTCTCTCACCTGATTTTATTCTCTGTCTGCTATTTTTAGCTTCTCAATCTTCATCAGAAATCTTCATCAAAAGAAACTCTTTGGAACCTTTTGAATCATTATTATTTTTTGGCTGCTTCTCAGCTCCTAGAATTATTAGCTGACGGAGAAACGGTTCCCCTCGCTCCCGCCGCCTCACGGGCTGGAGAGCTCATTAGCTGCCGATTCAAAGCCCAGCAAACGTCTTTGAAGCCTCCCTGTACCTGCATGTGGCTCACTGGTGTCCTTATTACTCTCTTCTGTGTGTGTGTGTGTGTGTGTGTGTGTGTGTGTGTGTGTGTGCGTGTGTGCGTGTGCAGTTTTATGGCTACCTCTCCCAGCAACAGAACATGATGCAGGACTACGTTCGGACAGGGACTTATCAACGGGCTATTCTCCAGAACCACACCGACTTCAAGGACAAGGTCATTACCTTCTGCTTCTGCTACCTTCTTCATTTTATTGGAGCAGAGTGGGAGATCTGTTTTAAATGTCCAAAAGATGAAAATACACAAACAGAGATTAGCAGAGCGGAGTGTTTGCTGACCCTTTGTTGACGCTCGTCTTTGCTGCAGGTGGTGCTGGACGTCGGTTGTGGCTCAGGCATCCTCTCCTTCTTTGCAGCCCAAGCTGGAGCCAGGAAGGTGTACGCTGTGGAGGCCAGCACCATGGCTCAGCACGCAGAGGTCCACACACACACACACACACACACACACACACACACACACACACACACACACACACACACACACACACACACACACACACACACACACACACACACACACACACACACACACACACACCTGGTTGGTGGGTCTGCAGGTATTTGAAGCCCTAGTTTATGCCCTGATCTTGACCTTACAGGTGCTGGTGAACAGTAACCGTCTGGGGGAGCGCGTGGTGGTCATCCCGGGGAAGGTGGAGGAAGTGACGCTGCCCGAGCAGGTGGACATCATCATCTCAGAGCCAATGGGATACATGCTGTTCAATGAACGCATGCTGGAGAGCTACCTGCACGCCAAGAAGTTCCTCAAACCCAACGGTGAGGAGGTTAAAGCTAAAGAGGAAAGAACATCTTTCCAGTGATCCACTTTGGTTCAGTATCCGCAGAAACGACCTTTAGCAGCTCTGCTCGCCGCTTGCTGTTACTGGTTAACGTAACGGGGCCACAGCGGGGACGCAAACATTTATCTGATGCGTGGTGTTCTGTTTGATATCAGAACTTATTGTTTGTTGTGCTTTTTCCTTTTTTCTGACCTGGACTTCTTTTTTTTTTTCATACATCAGGTAAAATGTTCCCAACCATCGGAGACGTCCACCTGGCCCCCTTCACAGACGAGCAGCTCTACATGGAGCAGTTCACAAAGGCCAACTTCTGGTGAGGGGGGGGAGCGGGGGAGGGGCAGGCTGAAAACAGAGAGGCCTCAGTTTAATTGCTCTACGACCAAAATAAGTTTTTTATAGATTGAACCTCGCATGGATCTTTTAACCGTGCAGGAACTTAGTGACCTATCCGAACTGGATTAGACTCCTGTGTCCAGCTGGTGTTTTTTTTATTTTTTACTACGTGTGTGTTGTTTCTATGACAACAGGCGCTGCATGACCAACACTTCTCCGTTGCTTTTTACCGGAGTGTTTGTCCTTCTACTTTTCCGACTTTGTCTGGACATGGTTAAGCTAAGCGAGCGATAAACTCTGGTAACCGTTAGCGTTCGTGTCTCCTCCTAAAGACTGAAACAAACTTGATCTGTCATCTATGTTTACACAGCAGAGACCTACAGGAGAGGCACCGTGGTGACTTTTCAAACTGGTTTTCTTTGTTTGACGGCTCAGCGTTCGATCACGTTCTTTAACTGAAGCAGTTTAATTAAAGCAACAAAGACATCTGTGTCTTCTGGTTAAGCAGAGGCAGTTAGATAAATATATATGTTCTCATTTTTTAAAAGCACTTTGTAAAAAAAAAAACAACAAGAACTTAGGAGTGACTTTGTTTTTCCGCCCTCAGGTACCAGCCCTCCTTCCACGGTGTAGACCTCTCTGCCCTGCGGGGGGCAGCAGTGGACGAGTATTTCCGCCAGCCAATCGTGGTACGTTATCCAGTGCAGGAAACAGAAAGGTCGGCGCATTATTCAGCTCCCAATCAGCAGCTTCATTTGATCTAAGTCAGATCTGAGGAAGATCCTTTGGATCCACACGTTTCTCATTAGGAGCTGAAAGTGTGCCGTCCTTTCTCTTCTCTGCAGGTTATACATTGTCTTGTCCTGCACCTGTATGCATTTTGCCTGGATGTGTGTACACTAGCTTTCTGTTTTTAATGTTATCTATTGTGCACACACAGAATCTTAAGAAAGTGGGGTTTGTGGTCTGAGTCAGGGTCCCAGCTTTCATTACTCTAAATATATCCTCTGTTCTTCTATCAAATAGTGTTTTATTTTGGTGTTAGATCACCGCATTGCATGCTGGGAAATAATTGCAGCCTGTTTGGTAAATCTAAGAAGGTTTTATTGTTCGCGTCGAGACGGTTTGTTTTTGTTTATTCTAAACCTTGATCTTCCTCCACAGGACACGTTTGATATCCGTATTCTGATGGCCAAGTCGGTCAAACACACAGTCAACTTCCTGGAGACCAAAGAAGAGGATCTCTACAGGTGTGTGTGTGTGTCTGTGTGCGTGTGTGTGTGTGCGTGCGTGCGCGCGCGTGCGCGCGCGTGCATTTTTAAATGTGTACTGAGTATTTCTGGTCTCTCTCTTTGTTGTGTCTCTCAGGATAGAGATTCCCTTTAAGTTCCACATGATGCACTCAGGTCTGGTGCACGGTCTGGCGTTCTGGTTTGACGTGGCGTTTGTGGGATCAATGTAAGTCAGCTGATGATGATGATGACGACGATGAAATGTCTTTAATTAGTCCACCACTTTGCCTCACGCTTCCTCTCCTCTTCCTGTGCAGGGTGACCGTCTGGCTCTCAACGGCGCCCACAGAGCCGCTCACTCACTGGTACCAGGTCCGCTGTCTGCTGCAGTCGCCTCTCTTCACCAAAGCCGGAGACACGCTGTCCGGCACGGCGCTGCTTATCGCCAACAAGAGGTGTGAAGCTTGTCATCGTACTTCTCTGCAGCATAGCCGTGTTCTTAAACTTTAGACATTAAATCTTTAAAAGTCGACTTTAACCTGGAATGCTAAGCTAAGCTAACAGCTGATCCCTCGTCCCCACAGACAAAGCTACGACATCAGTATTGTTGCCCAGGTGGACCAGACAGGATCAAAGTCCAGCAATCTCCTGGACTTGAAGAACCCCTTTTTCAGGTGAGTTCACTCTCTTCACCCCGTCCGACCCCGACAGTAACCCGGATACCATGGTTAAAGGCGGGGGTCCTCCGCGTGTCTGTCCGACTCTGAACGTGTGTGTTTGTGTGTGCAGGTACACAGGCTCCACCCCAAACCCCCCTCCTGGCTCACACTACACCTCCCCGTCTGAGAACATGTGGAACTCGGGGGCGGCCTACAGCATGAATCAGGGGATGGCTGTATCAGGTGAACACACACAGAGACACGGGGAGATCAAAACTGATTTCAGTGACATGATGAGAATATAAGAGACGAGGAAGGACGCAGAGTCTGAGCCGCTGCACCGACCGGCGTTCTCGTTTACTTTCTGTGTGGGTCGCTTCCACGGGAACAGAGACGTTTCTTACGTTAGAAAACAGACTCAAAGCAGATTTAGGCAACAAAAGATCAGCCACTCCTGAGTTCTGTGAGGTTCCTGTTTTTTTTAGCCCTGTTAAGACCGCCGTTTCAAGCCGCGATATTCACGCCCCCGCCCCATCTGAGTCTCACGGAGGCGTAATATGGGGGCGGAGTTATTCCCCGCCCTGTAAGATAATCAGAGGTAGTAACAGTGGAGAGACGGGATTGGTGGAGCCAGCAGGGGAGTGCAGTGCTGTGTGTGTGTGTGTGCATGTCTGACTGTGTGTGTATATGGAGCTCCTGCTGTGCAGTGCTTCCCCCAACTCGGAAACGCAATGTGACCTCACAGACTGGGACATTAACGTCACGCCGTCACAGACTCAATATGAACGCACTAAGACCCTGATGACGGTTTGTAGAGAGTGATGTCACAGCTGTTTGTGGTTATCATCTTCCTCTGTCTCTCTCTCTTTAGAGATCCTTTCTGTGATGTTGTCACACACTTAGACTAACTACCTGAGCCTGTCGGGGACAAAAACAACAAGTTTGAGTCGACACACTTTTAAAAAATTTTTATCCTGTAGGAATATGTTGCAGACGTTAAAGTCTTTTTCGCAGCGTCAGCCGGTTAAATGTTCATTTATCTTCCTGACATATTTCAATAAATCATCATCAGAGTGTTTCTACATCTGAATATCTGGATTTTCTCTTCCTGGATTGTTTCAAATGTCTGATGACTCATCCTGAACTCAGGGGCGCTTACTCAGTTTTTCATCAGTTTACCCCAACGTTATGTCCCACCTTGTATCTCGTGATTGGGTCTATCCCGTTTCAGTCATAAATACATCACGACCCGGCAGGTAGATACTGTTGACGCTGTGTTTCATGACCTCTCAGTGACGGGTCATCGAGTTGCTGCTGCTTGCTGTGTATGACACACACTGAGGTCACCTTTAAAATGTGTCAGACGCAGACAGCGGGGCACGATGGGACAAACTGTAGCTCTGAATTAAACCTTCTCCTTTATGTGATGTTTGTGTTCTTCACTGCGATCCTTTGTCGTGGTCAGGTAAGTAAAAAGGCAGCTCGTTCTCCTCGTCTTCCTGTTTAACACTGCTGTTAGTGTCATGGTGTCAGCACGTCTGCTGGTGATGAATGTTAATAATGAGAATGTTGAAATGATTCCTGTATCAGCAGATCTTGAAGACTTTGCCTCCTGTGTCTCCCTGCAGGGATGCCAGCAGCTTATGACCTCAGTACAGTCATCGGCAGCGGGCCCTCAGTGTCTCACAACAACCTCATCCCCCTGGGTACGGACACACTCATCCTCACTGATCCACATCATACAGTGTAGAGAGAGAGAGAGAGAAAGGACAGGAGAGAGAGCTAATGATAACAGCACTATGGCTTAAGAGAGGGCAGTTGCACTCAGAGGCCTTCGGTTGGCGCCAAAGTGCACCGAACCAAATTCCTACATATTGTTGCTTTAATTAGGTTTTAGCTTTTTTTCTTATGGACATAATATCTGTAGAAATCTGACTGAACAGTCAAACATCTGCTTCTACTTTTTTTTATTCCACCGATGGTTCAGTGATAATCGACTATTTCAGCAGCAACAAATAAAAATGTTCTGAAGAAAAGACGGTTGAAATGTGTGTGTTTGCCATCTGGTTGTCTGACAGTCACAGGATGTACGACCAACACTTGGTTACTCAGCTGCTGCACCAGATTGTGTGTGTGTGTGTGTTTAGAAGAGAGAGAGAGAGAAAAGGATTCGTCATTTAGCCATGCAACAGGCCAAAGTCTGCTCTAGTGCTGCGCATATCATTAACTCTGTTCTCCTCTCTGATTGGTCGCAGTGAACACAGGAATTGTAAACCACACCCACTCCAGGATGGGCTCCATCATGAGCACAGGGATCGTCCAGGGTACGTTCACAAACACAAACAATGAAAACACATCGGTCCAAATATTCTCATCTCCACTTTAAGAGGAGCCAATCTGAAACACGTTTAACAAAACGGCGTTGGTGGTTTTTTAATGATGCAGCTTGCCTCCCTGCAGTTCCTCACACACACACACACACACACACACACACACACACACACACACACACACACACACACACACACTCTCTCCTCTCTTTGTAACTTGTAACTGTGTTGTTCCCTGCAGGAGCCACCACGGGTCAGTCGGGTCCCAGCAACAGCGGTACTTACTACCCCGTCACCAACCAGTTCACCATGGGGGGTGCGGCCATCTCCATGGCCTCGCCGATGGTCATCCCCAGCAACACCATGCACTACGGCAGTTAAGACGAAGATGTCGAAGCAGAGACCTCTTCGTCGTCCCCGCCCCCTGCATGAGAAGAGATCCCCCCTGCTCCCCCTCGTCCTTCAGCCCTGACTGACCCACCGACCGCAGCCAAAACCAGTATACCAAACCCAGCGCTGAGCTGCCCCCTTCCCCCTCCCCCTCCCCCTCCCCTCCTCGTTCAGTCCAACACTCTCTGAACGGTGAACGCTCTCGTATCCGTCCACATGCTCGTCTTGCTGACAGACGACCCCCCCCCCCCCACCCTCTCCTGGATTTCCTGGGACTGTAACACGTGCACAGAGAAGCACTGCAGCTATCATCCACCCCCTCTCCTTAAACATGTAACTGAATCCCCCCCCTCTTTATTTTTGGTATTATTGTGTGTCATAATTAGCCCGGTGTCTCGTCACTCGGTTCCCTCCTGAAGAATCGACGTGTTTCCAGATATCAGCGTGTTCCTGCAGACGGACTACACTAAGGGAGGGTTCTCTTTCGGACATAAGGACACTTTTATCATAAACACTCATCTCTGGGCGGCCATCTTGGCTTTTCATATCCGATCCAGTCTTCAAAGACCTCGCTGTTCTTCTCTGGACAGACTCACTCATGCAGGACGAGGGATGTTGCGACGCCAGGTTTCTAAACTTAGATTTGATTCTAGTAAAAATGAATACCTGTTTCATTACCACGGCAACCAAAACAGAACTCCTAGGTACCTAAAAACGGGTCATTGTGCACAAATAAGTTAGCTACATTTCAGACTGGAAACTTTGCCACTGTATTTGTGCAATTTAGGTAGAACTGTTTATTTCTATCAATCAATAAAATCACAGAGATTGTATCAGTTTAAAACGTGTAGTTTGATGTAAACTCTGTAATCATCTGAATAAGCAGAGCAAAATAGAAGAACAAGGCATCAGGAAATAACACACTTTTGGTTGCCATGGAGTTATGTTTTTGTTGCCATGGTATCAGACAGGAATCGATTTCTTTACAAGAATCATATCGAAGTTTAAATTCTGTCATGGCAACATCCCTCCCCAGCGTAGAAGGAGATCAGTACAACAGTCTGCCAAAACGTTGTCATTTTAAAGCCTGTAAACCTGGAACACGCCACCTGCTGCTCCACGCCACCTGTTCTCTTCCCCGTGTTCTTAGACGAGTGTCATCGCAGCCGGCGCCTCCTCGGACGGCCGCTCGCCGAGACAGATTGCTCCGAAGATTCAGAGACAGAAGCAGGAAGGACCCGGTGACTCTGCAGGTCTGCAGCCATTGGCCTGCAGGAAGGAGAGAAACTGTGATCTGCAAACTCCTCGTCTCCTCCTTCTCGTCTCCTCCCCCTTCCCTCTGAGACTGAGAGACTGTCGCACAGAGACTTTGATGTCGGGGCATGGGAGGCGGAGTCAGTCCCCCCGCCTCCCTCCTCGTTCATTCACAAAGTATGACCTCCAACATATCATAACCTCCGACACCCCCCCACACACACACACACAGACCCCGCCCCCTTCTATCAGCCTGCAGAAGGAGAGAGACTGACACACGTATGCATTGCTTCCAGTGTCACATCAGGCGGACTCGGTTTGTTTGGGATTAAAGATTTAGCGAGTTTCGAGAGAGCTGAGAGAAAATGTGTCTTTGTAGGATTAATCTTTCTGTTGTTTTTATTTTGTTTTTGTTTTTCTTTCACAAAAAAAACAAGAAACCATGAAAAAATTAAATGTGCTGGAGATGTTCCAAAACCATCCCGGATCAGCTGTTGTAGTATTTGACTTTCAGAGACAGCAGATGTTCCCGTGTGGTAGCTAGCTGTTAGCTTCATGTCATGAGTCATTGTGTAGTCCATAGAGGCGTCCACTTTTATCCTGTATGAGGAAGACTGTCATGTTGTCATTTCTGTGTTGACCAGCAGTAATAACACTTTCTCACTGTCTCACATCGACTCCAGACACAACGTCTCTGTCCTCCACCCTGCTTAGATTTTACTTCTATGTCCAAAACTTCAAGATTCTGCAATGTCACCTCTAACTCTTATGTGTCTCTAGTCTGTCTACAAACCCCCCAATGATGAGAAAAGTCCATGTTCTCCATGTTCTCCCTGCTCCACTTTTCAGAAAATGTGTGCTCAAACAGGCCGTTTGTAGATTTTCCCTTCATGAAATCACAAAGGGCAGTAGCCCCTCCCCCAGGTGGGTGACACTCCCACAGCTAGGTGTTTGTTCTGAACCTCTGAGTCTGCCTTCTCAGTACACCTGAGCCCTTCCAGAGAGGGGGCGTGGTCAGACACATCTCATTTACATATTTAAAGTTACAGACACAGAAACAGCCTGTTCTGAGCAGGGCTGTAATAGAGGGGTTTATAGACATGATCAGAGTGGATTTAGATCAAGAAACTTCACACACATGTTTTGAGGAGCTCTGTCTGGGTTTATATCTACCCGACTGGGGGGCTGAGTTGGACCCAATAATGGAGATTTTCTGTCTCCCTCTTCAGCTGTCTGATCCAATGAAGGTAAAAAACAAAGTCCACAAAAAAAGAAATATTTTGTCCTCAAAAATAATTCACCAAATAGCAACAATAATACGGAAATACTTCAGGTGAAGCAGCTGTGAGGATCTTTCCGTTTGTGGATTTTGACGCCCCCTGTGGTAAAAGTTTATAGTGTGAAGTCCCAGTTCTAGGACCACAAACTTCAATCTCTTCACCTCTCCCCGGCTTCATTCATCCTTAAAAAAAAAATCATTTTAACATTTTGTTTGGGGGAGAAAGAAACCAAACGTCCCAGATCAGTAAATCAAACGCACCCTTTCACAGGCGCTGTGTTTATGAAGTAAAGAAAGACGAGCAGGTCTAGAACAGGTCTCAAGTCAATCAAGACAAGTCCATGTTTTAAGTCTGTTCTAACGAGTCAGCGTCAGGTCTCGAGTAAGTGAAGACAATTTAAAGTGACTTCTCAGTCGAGTCCAGAGTCCACTGAAGTCTTAAGTTATTCTCAACGAGTCCAAGTCTCTTGTCTTCAAAGCAGGTTCAGGTCCAGTCTGAAGTCAGTCAGGACAGGTCCGGGTTCAGAGCGGTATGTAATGGACACACAGACGACCAGGAGTCAGACTCGGAAGTTTATTAAGAAAAAAACCGATTCGCTTCACAGCAGGAAATAAATATTCTGCAGATTAACCCTTTCATGGCGTTACAATAAATCCTGAAGTTAAATTAAAGTCATTTTAACGAGAGAGTGTGAAGAAGCTCTTCATGTTTCTGAGAGGAGAGACAGCTCACGTCCTGTTCATTCAAACACATTCACAATCCTGAAAGAGCGTCTGACACGGCGTCCTATTCACACGTCTGTGACTGAAGCATCATGGGAAACACTCACAGGATGCGTCAGGCTCTGAATGCCACAACGACACAGTTAGAGGTGGCGTGATGAGAAGGTTTCACTGACTCATGAAAAGATCTGTTCAATACTGAATAGACAAAAATGATTGAGCTGTACACTATTTAACACTGTTGACATGTTGGTGGCGCTCTGAGAATATGACCTTTACATCCCTCCTGTCACCTCTTCTATTTCTCTATGTTCAGATTTTTTTTTCAACTAAAATGATGCAGCAGATGAATGGAATAAGTGAGGCCATCTTTTGTCTCTGCTCAGCTTTTAGCCACAAGTGCAGACCCCTCCCACACACCATGAGATTTAGAGGCGGGGACAAAATATCACAAACATTGTCGTCAACGTCTTCGATCATCTTTTTTTTTCTTAGTTTGGAATCATCTTTGAACTCATGCAGTGAACATCTAAAGATGTCAGGTACAGTTCTTCTATGTCGTAAAAAAAACGAATGATTGGCTGCAGATTGTCTTTTGTTTCTTTTCCTCCACTGATTCTGAACGCTGGTTAAATGATGGAGAGGGGGCGGGGCCACAGTGTGAAGGAAACCATGTCAGACTCATGAGATGAACCATCGCAGCAGAAATGTACAATTATTGCGGTGAACAAAGTGTTACTTCAGTCACAGAAGAACCACCTGAACATAAGTTACTTACACACACACACACACACACACACACACTCGGATCCCGGATCAAATCAAACGTCCCCTCCACCTGGCGCTCTGTACAGTCTGATGATGTCATCATGTGACTCAACAACACAAACGTCCCTCAGCTTCTCCTCGTCCTCGTCCTCCCTGATGTTAGTGCGCTTTGGTGACCAGTGTGGTGTGAGTCGGGGAGGTTGTAGAGAGGGGGGTTGTTGGTATATGTGTAGCTGTCTGGAAGAAATACATCTGAAAGAAAAGAGAGAGAATTAACTCATCTCCGCTCGGGATCCAACGTGTGCAGCATGTGAACGTCCTCGCCGTGCACACCGACCTTACAGCCCACGGCCAGCAGCGTGTGCAGAACCACGATGGTGGCGACTGTGGCCATCGCCATCACCTTGGTGTCGTCTCGGACAACGGGCCAGAAGGTGAGGACCAGGACAGAGCCAGAGATCACCATGGCAACCAGGATCAATGCCCAGCGTAGCCACTCGAACGGTATGATCCACAAAACCTGCAGGTGATAGAGCGATGACGAGTGAGGCGCGCTCAGACCCCATGATTGTTAGAGACTCCGCCTCCTCCTCCTCGTTCTAACCTGTGAATTATTCTGTACCCAGAACCAAACTTGTTCCCACTAGAGGAACATGAGTGTGAGTCTCTTCTGATATAAAATTAGAAAATATCAACAGATGAACATTTTCCCTCCGATGCTCGGAGAGTTGTAGACGCTCAAATGTCATATTTTTCTGAACACTTACAGAAAGTCTCCCTCCATCTGCTGAGGATGAACAGATGGCCGGAGAAGAGGAAGGAGAGAGAGGGAGCAGAGAGAGAGAGAAACTGGAAGACTTTTAAATTCACAATGAGAGAGACGAGACACTGGACTCACCGAGGTGGGGATGTAGATGAAGAGCGAGTAGCCGTACACACATACGGTTTCCAGGAAGGAATATCCTCCGACCTGCCTCTCCGTCCCTTGCCTCCAGGTCAGGAAACCCCATAGGCCGATAGGCACCAGCCAGGCGTACATGAAGATGATGATTGCAGCTATGGTCACTGCGAGCAGCGAGCAGGATGGAGGAACAAAGGGAGGGTCAGTAACAAGACGACAGGCTGAGCCGGGGCGATCAGAGGGGGGGAGGAGGACTGACCTCTGTGGAACTGCGGTCTGTAGTGATACTCGGGGTTTCCCATCTGACTCAGGAAGGAGGACAAGTTCCCGCTGATCGCGACGGAGAAGACCAGGGTCACACAGATCCAGAACGGACCTGAACAGACACAAACAGATTGAAGATTCTCGGCCTGTCTGTGAACCCCGCGGTGCTCTAAGATCTTTAAAAATACAAACATGAAACACTGAGAGGGAAGAGTAACAGAATAAAAGATAAGGTAACATTTCCTCACCATAAAGGTCGGGGTTGCTCCTGAGGTGATGTTTGACAAAGTTCTTTCCCGGTAACGGCATCACGGAGCCTTTCACTCTGTCCAGGACCTGCAGCACACGATCCATGTCACACCACAAACTAACACCAACTGTCATTATCAAACATGTTAAACACTGATTAATACTGATCTTACCTGCACTGTGTCGACGTTAAAAAAGGACTGATAGTACTCAAAGGTCCAGAATCCCCCGCTGGCTTTCTGTCCTGCTAACAGCTGAGGGGACGGATAAAAACGGTCATGACTCTGAACGCTCGTCAGTCAAGATGAGATAAGATAAGACTTTATTGTTTGTTTGAAATATGTTTTGCATTAAAAGCTCAGAGATCCTCTCATCAAACTCAAAAGACAAACATAAAAACAGCATAAGCTGCATTCAAAATCACATTTCAGGAGTGACATAAATACATAAATAATGTCAAATAATGTGAGTGTGCTAACAGTCCATGTGCAGCCCTGGTCAGGTACATTAGTGATTGGGAATGTGGCTGTCATGATTCCACACAGACGGTCTCCTCACCTCTGAACTCTCCTCCTGACCCTCCTCGTCCTCCGACAGGTCCAGTTTCACCTCCTCTCCTGCGCCTCCTCCTCCTGTTGTAGTGTTGTTGGTGTTGGAGGCAGACATACTGAGGGTGGAAGCTCCGGGGTCTGCAGACAGAAGCTCTGCCGCTTCTTCAAACTCTGCAAACAAACATCAAGCAGCACAGAGAGTCAGGGAGCGCAGGCTCAGGATGTAAAGGAGCAGGAATCTGGTGACAACAAAGAAGGTTATCAGCCAGCTCTGTGAGCTCCAGGTTTACTGATCCAGGTGAAAAACCTGACCCTTAAGGCCCACCTCCCGCAGGTAGAGGCACGGCATGATAAACCGGGCTGCAGGCCAGGCGGGGGCCTCAGCGTGCCAATCTCTTACAACCAAGACACGCTCTTTGAAATAATGAGGTCGAGGTTCTTGAAGTCTGCTTGAGTCAGTCAGGAGGATTAAATCATTTCTAATTAACTCAAGAGGTCAGGTTAGAAGATTCCAGTATTTGCAGAGGATGTGTGTTTAATGTACTCGGCTGATTAGAGATGGGACAGATCCAAATCTAAAACCGTATCGGGTTCGATATGGACGCCATTTACATATCAGATATCGGACCACGTCACAGATCAAGAAAGATCGCTGATCACTTTAAACATTCTCAGCTCGTACGGTCTCTCTTTGAAGACGTTCAGACTGAACTGTAAGAAGTGTCCACAAATCGTCTCCATGACGACATTCAGAAGAGACAGATCAGCTCCTTCTATGTGATCAAAATGTAAAAACTCAACTTCGGTTAAAATGATTTAATTTGAAAACCTGACAGGTGTTGCTGCTTCCTGTTTTAATGTGAAGCCAACACAAAGTTCAGATTCATTTATCTGGAATCATTTGAACTTTTATGCATTTTTAAAAAATATAAATTTGATTTATTTTTGCTTTTTCAGTAAGAAATATAACACCTACAGCTTTTCGTAACCTTACTCAACATTAATAACAAAATTAGGATTTTAAAATATTGGTATCGGTACATATTTATCTGAATCGGATAGGAACTGAAAATAAGTCGATCTGTGTATCTCAACCTTTAATAACATATTCATCATGTACATTTGATCACCTGTAGAGTTAGAGGAGACAGAAACACATCCACAGTCAGGTGAGTCATTTGAGATTCTCTTACCTTGAAACTGAAGATCATTTGGACTGGCCATGATTCTGAACAAACAGAGACCTCATGCAACACCTGTGAGGAGACGAGCAAAGACAAGACACCTGAGACCAAGTTTACCTGAGAAACTGTCAGCTGCACAGGTGACATATGTTCACTTACAGAGCAGCACGCTAATAAACCTCCTATAAATGCCAGTTTAATGTCGTCTTTAACTTCTATATCAAACAGTCCAGTAGACATTTGACAGTGTACCTGTCAGAGGTGATAGAAAAGCTTTCAAACGCACCTGGAGGATGTCCCTGATGAGCTGTGACAGCTAATGCTAAAGCTAATGCTACAGCTAAGCTAACCGTCAGCAGCGCGGTTGTTTGTCATTAGTTTAAAGATGTAAACGTTTTTAACTTAACTATAAGAAAAAAAACCTTAACAGGATATATAAACGGACATCAAATAACTCAAACGTTACGCTGCTGACGTCTCTCATAGATCGACTACCTGCTCTGCTGGTATGACTTCCGGTACACGTCACCACGTCAACAAAGCCGTCACGTGACCTACGTTTTTGGAAAGTAAATACGTAAAATAATAATAATAATAGTAAAATACATCGTTGTTTTAATATTAATTTATTTAAATATGAGAGTTCTATTTATGTATCTTTTAATTATTATCCGTTTTTTTTAAATGTTGTCCTGACTTTCTGTCTTTGTCTGTCAAAGCCAGCTCGTTCTGAATATCTGTTATTAAATGTGCTATATAAATTAAGTTATTATTATTAACATTTTCATTATTTGACGAAATTACAGAATCCGAAACCTGAAATTTTATTTCCTTAAAAGTCAATTTTCTAACAGAACAACTTGATTCAAACGTTATTCTAATGAGCTGCAGCAAAACCTAATTTGTGATCATTGTAATTAGATTAACCATAGACTGTCTGTGGTATTAACTTACAGTCTATGGGTGGTGAACTCATGCTTAAAGAAAACAGTGACAAGTGACAGCAAGCGGAACGTTTGCTCAGAGGAACGATCGTCGGAAGATTTAAACTGCTACTCTTTCCGGGCGCCATTTTGGCTCCATGTGAGCAGTCTGTTTGACAGGCAGGATGCTAGTATCGGGTGAAGGTGACCGTAGACGTGATTAAAAGCAGCTGGAATGGCTTCGTTTCGTGTGCTGATGAGGATGTTCTGTGCGGCCGCAGAAACAGCGGCAGCTCCGGTTCCGGTCGGCCGATGGGAGAGACTGAAAAACAGCAAAGCAGGTGAGAAACAGGGCGCGAGAGGCAGGTATGCATGGAAGCTAGTTAGTTAGCTAGCTTTAGGTGACAGATAGTTTATCCTGCTGCTAAAATCTCCGCTCTTACGGTTGTTTGTTGATCTGTCACTTGTAATTAGAGATGTGAACTTTTGTTTAATGTTTTGTCAAATCCTGTGGTTTAATGAACTTCCGGTTAGAGATGCACCGATCCACTTTTATCTGATTTAGATACATGTGGACGATACCGATATTTTTTATATATAATGGTGTGTCAATGTTTTGTGTAAATAAAACAGTGTGCACATTGAAGTGTTATCCTGACTCTGTATCTAAGAGCCAAAGAAGGAGCCCAGGTGGGACTAAGTGTCCTTCCTCCTCTCTGCAGGTGTGTTCTGTCGCAGCCTGGCGTCCGACTACAAAGAGGCGTGTCGTGAGTTTGCTGTCGGTGCGTGGGAACGACCCTTCAAAGCCTCGGCATACGGCGTTCTGCTGGGCGGGGCCTTGACCTGTTTCTACACCAAACCCGACCAGTCGTCCTTCGAGGCCGCCCTGCTGGACCGCTCCAACCAGCTGGGACTCCTGTCACCATGGATACGCAACGCCACCTCTGATGGCCACGTGCAGAGTCTGGTGAAGCTCCGCAACGAGGGTCGTCTGCGTCACGTCGGCCTGGGTCTGCTCTCTCTGGTGTACCGGGCGGATTACGACCCGGCTGCCTCGCTGTACGAGGCCCAGTGCTCCAACCTGTCGGTGCCCTGGAGGGAGCTGCCGCAGAGGATCCTCGACGTGGGATTTGTCAGCTTCTGGTGGATCCTGGACTACAAGATGAAGGACTACGACGTGAACGTGGAGGAGTTCAAACACCTGCCAGAACACATGCAGCTCACGTCGCCCCCTAGTGTTCAGGAGGTGGAGAAGAGCGAGAGGTTGCACGAGGAGTCGTGGTTACCGCCAAAAGTGGAGGAGGAGGAGACGGAAACAAAAACGGTGGACAGACGGGAGGAGCGCGTCGGTTTGGAGAGCCAGACGGAGGAGGAACAGACTCCAGTCTGAGTTCACTCAGACATTTAAAACTGTGCACAGGAACTTCTTCTTTTCATATTTCAAACATCCCTCAGCTACTTTTTTTTTTTTAACCCCAAACGAACATTCACAGATTTTCCTCAAAGAAGAACGAACATCCCTTCAAAGTATTTGTTTATATTTATTGTAACATGCTTTTTTTTTTGTTCCACAGAAAGTATAAAAAAGTAATCTCTATGAAACACGTGTCAATAAATCTGTTGTTATCTGAAGAGGTTTCACTTCCTATCTCACTCGTTTCTCAGAAACAAAAATGGAAGGACAGAGATGTTCAACATGCTGAACCTCAGTGTTTACAAAAATATATCTCTTCAAAACATTCTTTAACAACCACGACGAGTTTATTCAAACGTTTCTTAAATATTCATCCTGTATCTGTGAACTTTCAACGCAGAAACAAAAAGTCAACCCGTCACATTCAGAACTTAAACCAGCGTCAGCACGCCATGAGCTTCTGGTGCGTTCTGTTTCCCTCTGATGTCAGAGCTAGGAATGACATCACACCCGAGTTAAAGGCGTTCCAGTAACGAGTTGGAGAAGTCAGGCGAGCAACACTGACGCCTCCAGGAGCACCTTTGTCGTGTTAGCTAACACCTGATAACGTGATAATGACACTGTGGTAGTTTGTGTCCAAAGTAATGAGACGACACGTTCACAGAGAGGAGACGTCCACGTTCGGTTCAGTCACGACTTTAAACTTAAAAATTAAAATGGGACACGAACACCATTAAATGGCCGAGATTCATAAATATCCCTTTATAAAAAGTCAGAGAACAGGAAAGTCTTTATAATTTATATTTTTAACTTTTAGCTCCAAACAAAGAGGAGGAGTAAAAAGGGCAGAAATCTAAAGTTCTACAGACCTCTTGGTCACATGAGGAGGGTATCAGATGTCACATGAGGAAGGTCAAAGGTCAGCCTGTGGTGTTTCAACAGTGAGATGATGGACTCCTGTACGGACTGTGTGTGTGTGTGCTGTTGAAGGATCGAGCCACCAGAGGGCGCTCTACTGCCAAAGAATCTCAGCCTAGCCTCCACTAGGCAACCTGTCCTTCATCTGAGTCCAGTGTACTCCTCTGTGTGTGTGTGTGTGTGTGTGTGTGTGTGTGTGTGTGTGTGTGTGTGTGTGTGTGTGTCAGTGACCTCTCACACTGGTTCAATACGAGGAGCAGTCATTAGTGTAAACTGATCAATAATCTAATTTCACTGCGTCTGAACACTTCTTGTTTTCTGCTCCAGGTTCAGGTTGACTCTCTGAGACTGAAGAAATGTATATGTCTGATATTTAAGAGTCAAGGTGATGTCTTCTTTTTGGCTTTTTAGAGATGAAACAAAGCAGCCAGGTGGGCTGTACCTTCCAGCAGAATATAATCAACACTGTGAAGATGAAGACTTTGTCAATGTTTGTCAATGTTTGTGAGATCTTTGTCAGCGATGGTCTGCACTTTGTCAGCCATGTGTGTTGTGTTTCTGTGTTGTCTGACCATGGCTGAATAAATCCTAAGAATGATCCCACTCTGTTTCACGATTTCATCATTGTTCATCTAAAACAGAAACAGCGGCAAAAATGGACATGTGTTGCCTAGGACTTCTGTGTTTGGTGGCATTGTTCAAGATTGTTGGATTTTGTTTAAAGGTTATTTTGGGGTTGTTGCCTTGAGAGAGAGAGAGAGAGTGTGTGTCTCTATGCTCCGGTTCTTTTGGATAGGATTCTGTTCATCTTTAAAAAAACAGACTGGACCTAAACGAGAAGATCAGAGTGTCCCCTCAGCCTGCAGGATTCCTCCTCAGGGCGCATATGAGATAATCTGACGGTGACTTAAGACAGGTGAGAGAGCGTTTGAGTTTCCAGTTTGTCCACATGATGAGTTCATAAAGTCGCTGCAGCGTTGTCTCTGCTGCATCCTCTCAGGCTTCCTCTGCGTGCGTCTCCCTCCATCTTTGCCTCCTGACCTGTATCGACCCCTCGCTCCCATCCATCCTGCCCCCTCCTCCACTCAGACAGCGAGTCTGCCGGCCTGAGGGGTCAGCGAGGGCGGTCAGTGTCAGGCGGTGTTTGAAAAACACGCTGCTTTCTTTTTCTATACAAAGACAAAATGAGAGAGAGAGTCAAAATGAGAGAGGCGAGGGGCGTCACCTGATGCTCTTCACACAATCATCCCGCGACTGAACACCTGTTTACCTTGATTATATTTATTTTTATACATTACGGTGTGGGACCTCTTAATGAGGTCGACTTCTGTGAGGCTTGTGTGCTTAAACTGGGACACACCGTGTGTCAGGTCGTCCTGCCACACACACACATGATGTGACGAGGAGCTGCACACTGCAGGCTGCACATTCAACTTCTGTCAGCTGTGATCAGCCGGCCTGTTAGTGAGTCCATGAAGGATGCTGATGCGAGAGAGAGAGAAAGAGAGAGAGACAGAAATAGAGAGAAAGAGAGAGAGAGAGAGGGAGAGTGAGAGAGAGAGAGAGAGAGAGAGAGAGGAGGTGATAGAGGAGGCAGAGAGAAGAAAAGGAAACACAAAAAGCAGAGGGGGTGGGGAAGTCTGTCTGGCCACCATGTTGACCTCATTGACCACAGCAGGACCAGGCTTGTATGCTCACACATGCACACACACACACACACACATGCACAGACACACACGCTGAGCGACCTAATCAATATGTAACTAAGGAAGGAAGGAGGGTGATGGAGAGTGTGGGGGAGAAGGTGCAGAAGGTGTGGAGTGGTGGAACTGAAAAAACACAAGAAAGGACGTTGATGTTCAGTTTGTGTTGATGCAAACAAACAAACAGACACAGGAATCATTTTTAGATACAACATATTAAAAATGTATCGTAGACTTTAAACGAGCCGGACATCGTCAGACGGTGCTGTACATTCAGATTTATTCTGATTGTAAACGACTACACAGGGCGGAGCGCCCGAGCAGGTGGGGGCTCGCTGCCTTGCTCAAGGCTAATGCTAAGGAAGTGAACTGGCACCTCTCCAGCTACCAGGTCGATATCAAGACTTGGTCAGCACCAGGACTTGAATTCGTGACCCTCTGGCTCCCAACCCAAGTCCCTGCAGACTGAGAAAAAAAAAAAACACATTTATAGTGAAGCGAGACTCATCAGAGGCCTTTAATCATCAAGAGCAAGCGCTGAGTGTATCGTTCTTTTATTTACAGAGACCCGACATGACACACAAAGACTTCCTGTAACAGGCAGAAACCTCCAACAGAACCAGACTCACAGACGTCTGCTGAGACTGGATGACGTGGATGTTGAGGAAGCATTCAGATCTGTGACTAAACTGAAGACCGAAATCAGAGCACATCCTTTAGTCCTTTAAAAACATCAACATGTGGAGGAACAGATGTTACTCTGCAGGACGTTAGCTTAAAGAACTCCCATGTTTCAAATCATCATGTGGAGTCTAGATGTTTGATGAATGTCAAACCAGTCACATGAGATTCATGAACTATGATCACCATGTTTGTGCACATGGGTGAGAAAATCCAGAGATACATGCACTTCAGTGTGATTTATATTTCATGTGTTAAACTTGAGAAAAACAAGCAGACGTGAGACTAACTTCTCATGTTAGATTTAAATGTTGCTCAGATTTGTCTTCTCGTTTCACTTTTAAAACATGGAGTCTCGTGATGAACTCACGTTGTGCAGGTGCTCTGTGCACACGATGAAGCTGTTTAAACATGTATTTACTAAACTCATAGATGTTCACGTCAGGTTAATTAAATGTATTCTGCACACTCTGATGTTCAACATTTCACATCTCGATGTTCTTACAGAAAAACAACGACTTCACCTGCAAAACGTTCTGATGATAAAGATAGATGATTAAATAATCCCTCAGACTGTGAATGTTTGAGGACATGCTGCAATTAAACAAAGGAGCAGGAGTGTGTGTGTGTGTGTGTGTGTGTGTGTGTGTGTGTGTGTGTGGAGACACCCTGAGTGTTTGTGTTACAGCGTGTTCTGAGGAGATGATAATAAACACAAACAGACAGGATGTGCAGCTGCATCAAAGGGTTAACTGTCTGGGTCTGTGTGTGTGTGTGTGTGTGTGTGTGTGTGTGTGTGTTGTGTGTGTCAGTAAGTGCAGCTCTATAATGTCACTCAGTCTTGGAGTGTGAACATGTTTGAAGGCAGCAGCGAGGGAGGAGGAGGAGGAGGAGATAGGGAAGGAGGGCAAAGCAGGAGAGGAGTGGAGGAGGGGTGTCTGGTAGACAGAGAGAGAGCGAGAGAGAGCGAGAGAGAGAGAGAGGGGGGAAGGAGAGGCAAGCCGAGTGTGCACAATATTCATTCAAACTGACAGAGGCTGTGTGTGTCCTGGTTTGCACTTCCCACCGCTCCTCTCTCTCTCTCTCTCTCTCTCTCTCTCTCTCTCTCTCTCTCTCTAGACCTCGCCTCCCCTTCCTCGTCCTCCCCTCTCTCTCTCTCTCTCTCTCTCTCTCTCTCACTCACTCTCTTTCTCTCCCTCTTCCTCGCCAGACAGTCTGCAGTTTTCAGCAGCAGGAAGAAGACACCGGCGAGCCACCGGAGAAGAAGAAAGAAAGGGAAAGAGTGTGATAAACGACAGAGGAGGAGGAGGAGGAGGAGAAAAAGGGAGGAAGTGAGGAAGAGGTGAGGAGTAAAGAGGAGGAAAGATGAAAGAGAGTGAAGGGTGAAGATAGAGACAGAGGAATGCAGAGAAAGAGGGACAGAGACTCTACTAATCCTGCAGGAGAGGATGCTGGGTAAGTCAGTGTATTTCTTCTATTTCTGCAGGCTTTGGTTGTTGTGCATGCTGCACTCTCTGATCCAGGATCAGCCCTCATGTCTCCTCTCTATTGTCACTCTGTGGGAGAGGCTGCAGGCTGCCAGACATGAATGCGTTGTGACAGTGTGTCAGCGGATGTTTGCCCACACTGATGTGCATGCATGATGCAACGGCGGGGAGGAACGCCCAGGGAGGAGGCAGCTCAGGGGAGACGGGACGGGGAGGCATGGACGTAGTAAAGGACGGGGAGGCTGCATGCTAACGGAGCACAGAGTGCGTTCACACAATGAGGATCCTCATTCAGGATTCTTCATGTGATCGGATGTGTGACGAGGAGGATGTTGCATTTGCTCTTTAAACAGCATGTGTTGGTGTGTATGTATAGATAAGCATGTTGCCTGTGTGTGTGTGTGTGTGTGTGTGTGTGTGTGTGTGTGT